TGCTTAATTAGCCCACCTCCTACCCTTTGTAACGCTTCCAATAAGTGTCAGCCTCAATAAATTTTGAAAAAGCGGATATCTAAAATATGCTATATCATTTCATCTTATCATCTTATGACACACACAGAGAGCCAGCATCACATAGTAGGCATGTGCGTTGAAGTTTTTAGACCTCATTGTAGTTATAATTACTCAGATTCCTCCCTGTCCTCCAAGAACTCGTGCGATCTTTGAGTAGGACTGGACTTATTCGGTACGTTGGTCGAAATTTCGCTCGGTAAACTTTCCATATGAACAATTCTTGATAAAATTGCGTCAAATGTCTTCTGAATTACTGAGAACCTTTGTTATCGGACAAATGTTGTTGTCTGTGACGTGATCTGGCCGTGGCACGGTCTTACCATATTGGTTGCAGTGGTTTGTGTTTCAGACCAACTGTGCTGAAATGTTTATATAATGAGTGTGATGGAATAATTTGACGGTCTACTTTATGTAAAAGCTGTATTTTTCACATAGTTTCATTTTATGAAATCTTCACATTTATGACTATAACGATACAGACTATTTTCGTGTAAAGCCCACTATTATTTCACAGGCTGATGCTATTAGTACATGAAAATCACCTGCCAGTGTAGACAAAACCTCCTATGAGAAGTTAAAGAATGACGTAGAGCCATTTGTCACCAGATGTTTATTTGGACAGACTTTATGGCAAGTTGAAAAGTTATCTAGGTGGACTTATTATATTACCGCACTGATTGACACAATATACTGAAGATCGCGTAAAAATATTTTATCTGTTCTCCATTCGTTCCTTCCACTGTTTATATAAAGACAATAAAAAGGAAGATACGTCTTTTACATAACCTGTATTTACATGTCGGGCAAGAGATTCGCAAAACTGTCGCTTCAGCTTCTGGTAGTTTTCAAAGTCACTGTTCTGTGTCACCGGTTCAGCAGTTGTCATGAGTAGCGCGTTTCAGGTAGCAAACACCCACCGCCGAAAATTCTTCAGAAGACGATCAACTGTAATTTAAGATTACTGTACGTCCCACTTACTTTCAAAATGGGGTTAAGTCAGATGAGCAATCACCATGTGACGACAAGGATACCTGCAGGTGATGAACACTCTGCAGACACATGTACCTTTTGCCATATCAACTACCGGAAGTATGAATCCATCGACGAATGACACGTTGTTGGAAATACGGCTGCCAATGAGAGCCCTTCCTACTCTTTTAAAATTCACAACGACCTTTCTTCCGGCACATTCTGTTAATTTCGGTAATAAGGGCTATAAAGCAAGTATCCTGTTGTCCACCGTTCTTACCTTAACATCGTTCACCGTCCTTCCTTTGCAACCTCCTGTCACCCCACCAGTGCACCTTCCACGTACATTTGTGTAAACTTTTACCCCTCGACAAATTCGTTTCATCAACCTGTGCAAACATTCGGCACAATTGTTAGCGTTATTGCCAAGTGGCAAAATACTACGGTTGAATGCTGCTGCCCATAATTTTTTCAAAGGTAGTCATTGTCGAAATTAGGAGTGGCATTCAAACCAACAAACTCAATTATAAACGGGCTTCGTCGGTTAATATTGGATGGGATAAGATGATAGTTTTAAAATCTATTATAGCAGTTTGTAGAGAGAGACTGGCAACACACAAGATTTATGTGTGTGACCTGATATGATTATGAGCAATAATTTGTGATCGAAATGTCATCAGTTAGTACTACTGTACAAACTATGGGATTTATCAAAATGTAATCACGAAAACGGAATACACTGGTTAGCTTCGCAGTCATGTAAGCAGATAATGGCACACTAATAATAAAATAGAGATGTTTTTTATACACTGAATCCACATAACCCATATTTCACTGCATCAATCAATGCAAATATATAATAAATCCAATTAGAAATAACCTTTCAAATTACAATAATTCCTGTCCAAACACACATACGGTGAAAGACACATCTACATGATAACTTCTGTCCCCCCAGAAGTTTCTGTTAGCATCTATAGGTGATTTCCATGTAGTGATAGCGTTCGGTTGACAAATAATTCTGTTCTTCCCACGAAATTAGGCTGCATCTGTGTCCTGAAAAGTGAAGTCTTCATTGAATGATTCTATGCCGAAATGTGTGTAGATGATATTACCCTCCAAATACTTCATCTTGCTCATCATAGCGATATTTTGACACAGTCCGCCTGAAACACTAATCATTGGAGCCAATATGCTAAGAATATGTCTCAGCCAGATCACATGACGCTGACAGCAACGTGACTATTCGGCAGATCAGAATTCCTATCAAGCCAGAAAACATGAAACACAATTTTATTGAAACTTATTGACAAAAGAATTTGCTGAGCGAAATTTCAGCCAACATGCCGGGTAAGTCCAGCCCAGTGTTTTCATCCTAACTAATAATCAGCTTCTCAACTTGTTGTAACTTCGAAAAAAACACCGACTGCAAATCACAAATTGAAGGTCATTCTTACCAACTGAGGCATCACCTCCGACTAAGGCAGTACACCCAGCAGACCAACTTTTTAAATGTTTTGCAACATATAAAATCACTGTTAACGCAGACTTAACTATAGGTACTTCTGACTCATGTATATCCATCAAATTAAACATTAAAGGCCATAGACCAACCTCCCCTTTAAGATGCTTCTGATTGCCTTCATGTTTCCTTTTATTTCCGAAAGTACATACAAACATAACATAATTATTTCGTGGTTTATCCTTGTTTAGTTTAGATTCTCTCACAGCATTTCACGTTTTTTGATCTGATTATAAGCACATTTATGATATGCCCATTCCCTGGAAAAAATTCAGAGCTTCATCAACTTCAGTCAATTTTCCAAATCCCGCGGTTTAGCATTTTTTTCGGTAAACCTTGCTAACATCAACTCTCACTGTCTTTCCTTCAAAAGATTGACTTGTAGACTATTTCACTCCTTAAACATCAACGTCAAAGATATTTTTCCCGATTTCTACGGATTAAGTAGTCATTTAGACCAACAGTTATAATACCAAGCAACAAATGCACTGGAAACAACATCTTCTACCATCCAAAGATGTTCATATGCATCATTTTCGAAATTGTACATAGTGTTATTAACAGCTGAGAAATAACTAAAGCACTGCAACGCCAAATGAAAGCAACGAATAAAATAATTTCTATGGAAGGAATGAACTGACCGGATGGTAAAAACTTTCAAAACAAGTGAAGTAACTAATTTCAGTGGTTACAGAAGCCAAAAGGTTGCAAAACGCAACATTAATCAACAACCTACATAAAGATAAGTTGTGAAAAACTGCAGGATAGCAGTAAAAACAAGTGTGTGGACGGACTGTTAGCAAAAAGCAATCCACGGTAACCGACTAGTATGGACGAGGATGATCTTCAGTTACCTTATTCATATGATCACCTTCAGCTTGCTGGATAATTTCAGCCGTTAAACAGTATCTCTCAGGAATGAATCCGTGTTGTCCATCCATCGATATTCTAAGTTGCTCCATAGCACTCTGTATTTTGTTCTTAATATAGTCTTCCAACACCTAAGAGACAATGTATGTTATGTTTAAAAACACCAATTTGATAGTAACTGCCTAATCCCCTCATTGGAGATAGATTATGATTGAGTCCTTGTAATCCTCTACACTGAAGTGGTATGTAAATTGTTGGATTTATCCATGTTGTCTGTAAGAAATTTTCCGTCAGAGTGACATCATCAATTCTATAATTTTATTTTTAAAGCACATTCATGTTGCCTACCGAATCTTGAAATTCCGTTTCGAAATTCTTACGCGCGCTTAACGGGATGTACGTTACTCCAGTTATTAGTTTTCTTTGTTGTCTTATGTTAAACCACACATTGTTTTCGAATATTTTTGTTGTCTGATGTTATTATTCTTCAAGAGATTTACTGGGGTTTTGCGGGGATGTCATGGCGATAGATCTTGTTGACATATGCACTTTCAAAAGGCGCCTATATATAGGCTATAGCCATACATATATATATATATATGTATATAGATATAAGTATATATATGCATAAGTATTCTGTTAAACAGTATATTATGATGCTGTCCTGTCTTGTTAGTTAGTATACAGATTTTGAGTCCAGCTGCTTATGTCAGTTTGTGTGTATTTCTTAAAAACTTTGGGCGCATTGCCGTTCTTGAGTATTCGCCCCGAAGACTGCCCCAAAAAGTCTGCAATGCACCCGAAGTCTGCCTCAATAAGTCTGCAATTGTAGGAAGATTATTAAGCTTTGTTCGTAGGTAATTTTATGGACACTCAGTTAGTAGCAACATAAAAATATCTTGTTGGAAAAATTGGTTGTACTCCTGAACTTCAGGTTCTGAATTGAAGGAAAGTACCTTTGCAGAACTCTGCACACATGTGTGGATATCCGAGAGATGCAATTATCACCGGTTCCGACACTAATGTTTAGAATCTGTTCTAAAGTAACAGAAGGAAAAGCTGTAACCTAGTTTATGGGTAGTTTGTAAACTTTCTTATTTGGAAAAGTAGTATTGGCTCATGCTGACTCAATCTCGTTTGAAGTTCGTCAGCTTGCATCATTTTTGGTTGGTTTCGTTATATATGACTATCAGTCAGCCAGTCATTCTACTTCGACTGTGAGACATAACTAACGAAAGCATAATCTATGAATATATCAACAGTCCTAGACCATGTGTGCCTTCGTTCAGTGCATTGTGTTATGTAGGTTAGTAACCAGTCGAACAAAAATAGGCAAATCCTGGCTAAAGAATGGTAATAATGGGAAATTATTGCCCGAAGGTTAAAATGGGAAAACGGTGGCCAAATAATGGGAAATGCTGATTATATTTTGGTTGAGATAGATAAAATTGTCATATAAGCCAAATTCGCCTACTTCATCTTACTACTGGCCATGCCCGTTTTTCACTATTTTTTCAAATTGGGTGTGATCAGTAGCTTCGGAGTTAGGTGTTGAATGTTAGGTAAGGAGGCAAAATCAGTCGATGAGGTCTTAAAGCAGTATCCATGAAAACGACTAGCCTAGTTGCCTGAAATTTAATTAAGCAAGAGTTATAAATAGTTAGATTTGAAACATGGCGACATTTCATGAAGTTCATACACTTCGGTTTGAGCTGCACATGCCGATGTGGATTACCCAGTTAAGATCTTCGAAATGCTGAAAATCTGCTTGTAGATAATGGCATAGACTGTTGTCATCCAGATTTTGGAAGGCTACGCTGATTATTGTTTCACCATGCGTCTATTGCAGTTCCAATTTACCTCTAATCCCCATTTTTGCATACGGTTCATCTCAATGTAATAACATGGGCTGATGTAGTTTTGTGCGATGCTCTACTCTTTTTTGTCAGTTAGGTCGGTCATTGTAATATTCCCTTTACCACTCTAGTAATTTTAATAGCTTGCATACTTTAAGACAACTGTCTCCATATGGCCCTTATTTTGTTATGCCTTATAACTTGCTCAGGTGCTGTCAAAAATGCTGGAAGAAAATGTGTGCTCAAACTGCCTGAAGCAAAGTGATGTTCACCTCGTTTGTCTTGAGTGTAGTCGTGTACAGCTTTGTATTCCTGTAAGTCATGTAAGTTTTTTTCTTTACTTTAGTGCTATTGTTATGGAGCTGAGTCTGGGATGCACAAGAAGAATCATGGTTATCGCATTGCGGTAAATTTCCTAACATATCTGTTTATTACTTTAGAGGTCTACATTATTACCTAATTCCGTACTTGAAGGTTGGAGTTCTGAAGAAGAATTGAACCTTTTGGAAGCCTTAGAACAGTATGGAATCGGAAACTGGTTAGTGTCCTCATTACTGAATAGCCCATTGTTTTAGGGAGGATATAGCCATAAAAGTAGAAACCAAAAGTGCTGATGAGTGCATGCGTCATTATTGCAATCGTTATTTGAATGAAGTTTTTGGCTTAGAATTATTAAATGATAACAAATATTCTTCTCGAATCACAGACCATACAAACTATAATATAGTATCGTCTCCAGTACAATCATATTCTACATATATCGATATTGAGGATCAACAGCTGTTAGGTTATATGCCAAATCGTGGTGATTTTGAACGAGTTGGTCAACCGCCTTTCTTTAATTGCCTTTATTTGCTTCGATTCATTTTAGGACTATGACAATGATGCTGAAAGTATTCTCTGTCGTTTGCATCCAAGTTTCTCCCACGATGATCTCGAAGATGGTATGTATACTAAGTAGTATGTTGTGCTATTTATTATTTTACATCTTTGTATAACGCATAACAATATCTTAGTATGTTGTGTATACTTATTGCTCAATTATAACTAGTTTTTATTCCAATTATTATTTGTATTGCAATCTTGTGTTTGAAAATGCTTGATTTTTTTCCCTCGAATTGACTTGGTTTGGAGTTGAACTCTGAATAACTTCCTAGCCAGCAATATCAGTGAGAGTTATAAAATAGCTATCTATCCCTCTCTTCGGGTGTTGAAAATATTCATTGATTGTAGAGGATATGCAAGAGTTGCAGTTATTTGATCCACTCTTTTTTTTGAGGGGGGGGGGGCATAGTTCTCATTTGATCTCTTTCATCTTTGTGATGTATATTTACTTAACACTCGACAAAATAATTCCCACTTTACTACTTGTATCTTTTTAAATTTGTTCAGGTGGAAAAGTATTCAAGTGCATAACTCTTTAGTTAACATGTAGTTGCCTAAATCATTGAACGCAAAGCTTTTATCAAACACTTAGTTGTGATTACGTTTTACTCTTCAAATTATTTATGGAGAATATATGATTGTTCCTATTACATTTATTGCTTTCGCTACTATCACTTTAATACATACTGCGCATGTAATGTAAGATAACAATGATTCCTTTAAATTAACTTATGTGTCGACTAATGCTGATATTTGAGTATGGATTCGTATTGGCGAAAATATTTCTGACGATTTATTATATTCATTGCTATTGACAATAACCAGTGAATTTTGCTAGCTAGGTTGAATTTATGTGAGTATGCATATATATCTATGTATGCTAAACACTCACAGGCACACAAATGTTTATTTTTCATTTTGTAAATATTTTCAGCTTTAAAAGTTGCACAAGTCAATATATACATGCAGAGATTACGGGAGCGTCAGAGACGTAAAGAGATTGCTTGTGAACATTCCTTAATACCGCATATCTTGGCGTTTATTCTAAATAAACGTGTCAAAAAACGTGCACCTGTAGGTGATGTTATTATAGAAAATACGCCTATAAAAAAGAGACCTCGTGGACGTCCACCGTCAGCAAATAAACTATTATTACAGAGTAAGCTGATCAATAAAACTACACCTGTTACAAGAATATCTAACCTTCACGAGTCTGTAAATAAGGATCCCGGTAAGAAACCACCTCCAAATAGTTGGCTAGCTGCTCCTTTCATTCTTCAGTCTTCCGGACCAACAAAAGGTGCACCAATTATAGTAAATACTCCATCTGATGTTACAAGTGATCATCACATGACAAATGAGTGTAAAGGTGAATATGCGTCGACTAATTGCAAGATACGAACAGGAAACTCTATTGGAGATTTTAATGGATTGTAAGTTTGCGGAAGGTAATAATAATGTTTACCCACTTATTACGATTGTGAGGATTTTTATTGCAACTTCTATTTTTCTTGTTGTATGGATAAAAGCTAGTTTTCATGCTATAGTCCATCTTTTCTTGAAGGTGGTTCAATAATTCCGTTTAACAAAAATGCTCATCAACTGGATTGAAAAGTGATTCCAGTTAAGAAACTATTCCCAGAATTGACCAATAGCCAAAAGGATAAGTCCGTGTTTGCGTTTAAATTTATGAGAGGATGCCTTTGTGAAGAATACCACAAAAAAACCTTAGCGAATTTTCTTCAAGATTGACTTCTTACAGTGAGTTTTCAAAGTAATTAGGAGCTGAAACTTAGATGGAACTAAGATGTTTGTTGATTCATGCAAACTGATCTAAATAACATAAACCACTAATAATTTATTGCTCAGAAAGATAAAAGCCTTTTATTGAACAAACATTGCCTGTCAAGGGAAGTAGTGACTTACTATTCCATATATATATATATATATATATATATATATATATATATATATAAATGATGATGAGCGTTTAAAGCCTCATTTACTTACTTGTCTTTCTTACCAAATACTATAAATGGTTTTATAAGTAACAAATGCAGAATACATGTTAAGAATACTTGAATTTGTTTGCACTTAATGTACTTAGAGGACTGCTGTTTTTCAACATACTGGCTTAACGGAGTTATTTTGACAGTCGGATGCTTGCCAAGTAGGTTGACGAGTTCCGTTGCAATAATCCTTAATCTGGAACACTCAGTCTCCTTCATGCATTTTCGATAAAGTAATAAGAAGACGCAGTTTATTTGAGTAGTGTAATGTATTTTCCTTAACACATTTCGAACAATCTGACGACTCACGTACTTTTCATAGGAATTTATATTGAAAATAATCAAGCGTTAAGGCGTAAGTTTGAAAATCAATAAACCAAAAAGAGAAAAGGGGATTAATAGTACGTCACTCTTGGCATCAAAACAAAAAAATACTCAGGAAGCTTCTCTATGTTGACTAATTGTTTGTGAACACATCTGTCTGTTTTCGACATAGAACTTTGCACCGATGTGCGGCAGTTCAAGTCGCCACACTCTATGTGAACACATAAAGATGCCTCAAACTTCCCAATCATTAGGGCTCTCACAAACTTTAGAGTATGCCCCCAACAAGTCTTATAAAGGGTGTATAAACATCTGCTTTATGCCCTGTTTCCATAGTATTTTTTTACCATTAACAGGATCTGGGATTCAATCTGCTTCTGAAGTCCTTACTTGCAGAGATCGATGAGTCCTCCTGATGTAATTGTAATCGTACTTACCTTTAAAATGATAAATTCAGCTGGATGTGACATCATTTTTTACATATTTTTAATGACAGAGATGTAAGCGTCAGTGCATGTATAAAAGACAAACATATCGATTGGAAGCTGGATGTCAGAGTGCACTTCAACTATTTTCTTTTTCAGTAGTTGTCGTCAGCCTACTTTCCCTCCACTCGGAATTCCAAAGCTAAATATAGTTCATATTACTCTTGTGAATCTCACTTTACTCTCTTCTCTGGCTTTGTGTGCTACATGGAGTGTGGCAACTCGAACTGCTGCACATCTGTGCAAAACTCTCTGTTGAGACCAGTCAGTCAGTCATAGTGATTAATGTCCTTGAATTTATTATTATTATTACTATTATTATTATTATTATGATTTCTCTCCTTTAGATAATCCACCCAGTGTGAATTATCTCATTTTAATTACAGTTTATGCGAATCTAATAATTTCTCTCACAATTTCCTTCTTTCTTTAGTTATTTAAATGAAAAGTTGAAACCATTTCTAAGATATTTTACTGGCATGCAAGGCAAACATTTTATAGAGAATCTTTATAGTAAGCTTACCATTTTCCGTTTGTATCATATTGCACGTATAAACGTATATTAATGTTGAGACTACTCGAGATAGTTTTGAGTTGATGGACTGTTATAGATGTTGACGACTGAAGGCGAAGTATGACAGGACTCGAACCTGTGACCCCCTGAATTACTGGTGAGAAGTTCTACCAGTTAAACTATGAGATCTAACTGCTAACCAGGTCACTACGATTGCCACTGCTCCTCCCCTTCTAATTCACTAAGACTAACAAGAGAACACCTAACTGGGCAACTAGTGGCTATGTGTGTCAAAGGACAGTAACGTGTCACCTGCCATTCACATGATAGCTACGCATTACTCGTGATTCTCCTTATTCCTTTGCGTTCCCAATGAAACATAAGGCTATCAGTTTGAGATATGAAGTTTCAGTAGCGGTAGTGTTTTGTTTTTACGTGATGGGGTGGTTAACTTCACACGTGACCGAGTTTACTGCCAGCTAATCAAGGTTTAACAGCAGTACATCAACTGAGAGTCGAACCCTGGACTAGGTGGATGGTTGGCGAGTATTCTACCACTGAACAATCGGGATCTGTGATGATTGCAGCGAAATGATGACCTAGGGTCTCATGACTCAGCTAGTAGAGTACAGGATCAGTAATTCGGAGGTTAGTGGTTCGAGTTCTGCCACGACCCCAAGAATTTCATTTATTTTTATTTATCACTTACTGATGTGATGTATTGGTGATTAGATAACCGTTTCTTTCTACTCCTTTTTGTGTACTACAGAAGAAGAGTTACTTAAGCATGAAATAAAGTATCTACTGGAATTACGAGCCAAAGGAAGGACGCAATTTATGAGTAAATAACTTTTAAAAATTACTTTTCATCTATTTCTAATGATTGCTATTATTATTATTATTATCAATTATTTTTTCTAGACTTTAATGTATCACTAAAAACTGAATTGAAATACTTTTCATCGCCTTTTAATACTAATTTTGGTTATTGATTGTATTTATAATAATAACTGTATGAATTACACTGATAGTTATGTTGATAATGTCGCTTCTGAATGGAATGCGGAGTGATTGAGTTGAATAAAGACACTATGACAAAATAAACTATCGTTTCAGTATAACATGACTATAAGCCTACGTGTGTGTGTATGTGTGGAGGAGAGTCAGTTATTGATTACACTCTGTGGTGGTAACTGCTTTTGGTCTAACCGTATGGTAGAACCTATGAAACATTAGTTCCAGCTGGTGCATCTTGTTGGGTCATCAAGCTATTCTTGACCGACCACCTTATGAAGTCAGCAACTGTTGATTGAGCCCAGGAAAGAGAGAACCTTTGGCATGAGGTTAACAACTCCACCGTCTACTGGAACTGTAAATCTCAGGCGTGAAGCTGTGTGTTCCTCTGACAACGCAAGGAATGAAGAGAAATTGTCTCTGGATTAATCGTATTCACCAAATCAAACATTTGAAAGATGTAACTTTAGAAATTGTGTTTTCCTACTAGTCCTGTAAATAATCAACACTGATTCCAGTCATGTCTACTGGACCTGAATTCTTAGTATCTACCGACACGTTGACTCCTAATGAAGAAGCTTCAACGATGCCTGAAGCCTAAAGTAATGTTATTTGGTTGATGGTGATTAGCAGTGGAATCCAGAACGCACGGTTCGTTCTATTTGCAACTCATCAGTTGGGTGCAACTGGTATTCAAGTCAATAAGTGCTAGGTCTCAGTGGGAATGACATTAAACTTGACTCATACAATTCAGTCAGTCTGCACTAAACAAAGGACTAGACGCATGACACTAGTTACTACCTAGTGTCCAATCGAAGCATCCAGTACAGTTCTACAGGTGGTCAATCGCGAGTCCGAATAGCTCGGTGGTAGCGTGTCTGACTGCAACATTAGTTGGCACGAGTTCGCATCTCATAACGGACATGAATTCCTTGAAGATTACAGATATTCCTGGCTGACTAGTGAGTGCTAAGAAGCACGAAACTTAGGTCAAAAGCTCCCTCTAATCATCTAATAAGAAGAACATCAATCGCTTGGGATACAAGTACATTCAGCTGAGTAGGACAAAATGCTCAACCTAAATTCACCTGCTAGCTACCATCAACCCAATAAATCTAATGTTTAACAACTTAGCTTGTCTTCTCAAAAAGTTATTTAAATTATTATTACTTTGATTATGTGGTCAAATTAAAACCACCTACATGTGTTTTCTAATTTTAAGGTATGAAAATTAAATTTCCATTATTCAAAAGTTCAGTATATCATCATCTTCGAAACCGAAGTATCACTGATCAACCTGCAGAACAAACAACAACAATAACCAGTCCAGGACATGGGAATGGTCGGGACCAGCAGCTACAACAACAGCATTCACGTCGTTTCTATCAAGTGAAAAAGAAACGACGTAGACATACAAATACACCATGGTATATGAAAGTACAGCGTAGAGTTAAACAGTATAAATAATAATTATAAGATTTTATTATTTAATAACAATAATAATACTAATTGTTGTTACTCTATCTCTCTTTCCATCTCCTCTCCATCTGTATCTTGCTTATTTCCTTATTAATTGTTTATATTCATCATATTATATTTCTATATTATTCAGAGAAGATTCAATATTTAATATATATATTTGTTTTTTTACCAACTAACACCAAGATTTAAGTGTACTTTTGCATTTATTACCCTATATAATAATAATTATTATTTTATAATCATTATTTGAAAAAGAGAAACAATAGTTTATTCCCTAATGTACCATTTCTATCTCTATTCTCACTTATTATTGTCATAATTATAAATATTGCTTAATATATTTGCGTATTATGTATATTACATGACAAATTCAAGCTATATTTGCTTGACATTGATGCAGTTTATTGACTTGAAATTATGTGAATCATTATTTTTGTTATCTAAAAGTATATGTGAATGCTGTACAATACTGTTTTTCATTTGTATGAAGTTGTTACGTCAGAGGTATGTTATGTGATTGGGTTCCAACATAGACCTTTGTACAGAAGTGAAGCACTTCAAGTTTCTACACTCACTGTAGCAGACAAAGGTAGAGAAAATAAGGGATTTAAAAGTAGTATAATAAGCGAAAATATACAGGAGAAAGATTGGTAGCATGGAAAAACATGAAGGTCCAATGGAGATTATTATTATTATTGTCCTCTTGGGTTCCGAGTGGAACACAGTGTTTGAACAGAGCGCCTCCATTTTGTCCTATTCAGCTGGTCCCAGAATCGCCCGTAAGCTCTCATCTCCTGTATGTCACCTTCGGACACATGCTCAGCTCGTCGTTCCTCATTCGGGTTCCACTCAAGCCATGCATAGCCTGACGCGCGATATCACCTGACAGTCTCCTCAACGTATGTCCGATCCATCTCCGTTTTCTTCACCGTATTTTTTGATGAATTGGTTCTTTCCCAGAGTCTCTTGTTGCTAATTCTTTCTGGCCATCTGATCTTGAGTATTGAGCGAGGGCAGATGTTGGAAATGCTTTTTGTGACGCGCAGTGCAGACTTCTGACTCATATTTGAAGAACTGACTTAACATTATTGTTGAAAACCTGAATTCTGTTCTTTATGCGGAGTGCAGAAGATTTCCAAAGATGATTTCATAGTGATGACGGTCTGTGTTGCCATTCCGATTGTGGTTCTGACATCCTCATCCGTGCTGTCGTTGAAAATGCTGCTTAGATAAATGAGGGAAGTTACTTTCAAATTTCTCCCGTTCATAGTGGTTGGTGTTTATTGTTGTTGGTCGGTTATCTTCATCATCTCTATGTCTACTTGAAGTCCTGTCTTTGTTGCCTATTCTGCCAACTTGTTGGTTTTCGCCTGTAAGTCTTCGAGTTTGTGTGACATTAGACATAAATCATCCTCGAATTCAAGATCTTCTGGAGTCTTATCGGTTCAGTTAGGAATATCATAGGTGATAGTAGAGTCTTATCTTACTCCTTTCTTAAATTCAAAGGCTTTGCTGAGTTTTCCGTTGTGGACCACTTGATAAATGCCACCGTTATGTAGCTGTGAATGAGGTTTATAAAGATTTCAAAATTACTTCACAGTCAACGCTGTCGAAGGTATTTTCAAAGTCGATGGGGAACTGCAAACAGCGAATACACCAGCGCTGCTGAGAAAAATTTTGAGCGATATTGCCAACAGTTTCAAGTCACTGGTTCTAAAAATCCCGATGATTCCAACCAGGCAGTTTACATTCTCCTATGCGGCTCAAACCAACAGTCAAGGATCTAATGGTTTGATGCCAGGATTTGGTTTCACTACTCCTAACTCTTTTCCAACTTAACTTTATGTTGGCTAGGATCCCTCGTCAAGGAAGGCGCGGACTTCCTTCATTCTATGTCTATTTATCTGTGAAGTGTTTGTTTTTTTGTACGTGTAGACACTGCTTAAGTGGGGTTCTCGAAATGTGAAGGATTAGTAGCTGGGAGTTAATGGAAAAACGCTTCGAAATCTTTCTAAATGTCACAGATCCATTCACTTAATATGATCTCCCAGATCTATTGAGTTCTTATTATCCTTCATATAATCATTCTTACTCCTGTTAATTATAGATTCTTTGCATTTGCCAGATTGCTGTATTACTTTTGGTTATTTGTAAACAATCTTTAGTTAGCTAAGCAAACATGAGATGTGAGACATATTTTGGACTATCCAACTATAGTTCTGATTTGGCTTATTAACTCTTTCTCTATTGGTCCACGGTATATAATGACATGGGTTGAAGGATTGTTATTATTGTTATTCCCTTGGTTTCCAAATGGAACATAGGGCTTCACCAATACATCTTCACTTTGTTCTATTTTCTGATGTCCTCTTCGGCTTAGTACATGATTGCCCATAATCTCTCATCTCCTCCTTGAAGGATAATTTAGGCGAAATATACTATCATCTTTTTTGTACGCATCATTTTCCTAAATATCTGTCAAACGTTTTTAAGACCGTCTCCAAATGACCATTTATTTCAGTTTATAAACGGGTTGTCTTTGGTTCTAATATTATAGACTTCATGTCGATTAGATCAATAAGAATTTCTTGTTTATTAGATGTCCACTTTCATCAATTTCTGAGTTCAAATGAATATATAACTCGACTTGAAAGTAAACCTGAACACTAAGACAAATAAGCTTTATTGTATTAAAATCAGTTGTCTTTTCAAACACTTGAATTTGTATAAAGGCACTAGATAAACTGTCTGTCACATAGTCCGACGAAAAGTATTGACGCTGGCTTTAAAATCAGTATACTTTCGATTGAAACTACTGCAATTGTACATGATCCTAATGCATAGTTCAAATAGGTCATTGATTTTAACCTAGTAGTTAAGCTGGGGGTAACAGTGATTCTGAAGTGCCTTCATCAGGAGTTTATCCAAGCACGTGCACTACCTAGCCTATATAAGCATTTCAAGAACATATGATCTCGTGAGTTAAATTGCGTACTGGTCTAGCGTGAGAGATAATATTGCAGAGTACGTTTGTCTTCGCCTGTTCAAACTGCAAACTAATAAAAGGTGAACGAACATTCGGTCACAACTACAATCGATTCGAGTAGATGATTTGTGGTCAGTAGATATGATTGGCCCTCTCCCTCAAGCGTTGAGTGGTGACCAATAGCTGTTAGTGATGATACAGAACGCTATGCGTTGGGTAAATGCAATAGGTATTCCAAATCACCACACTAAGATGTTAACTGAGACAGCAATTAGACATTTTACGGATGATTTCTAGACATAATTACTATCAGTAACGAGGAACCACACTTGAAATATTACAAGTGGGAAATTATACAGTACAATTAAAGTATTTGGTTTCTACGGCGAGTGAAACCTGGTCATCTAGATCCAATGGTTTAGATGGTGACGATCTACCAAGTTGGTAATTAATAATGGTAATGCGACTCAATGATATACGAGCTCACCATGTAACCTAAATATATCCTGGAATCGATCCATAGTGGAGGTATGCGTACGTACAGATGAAGAATGCCGAATTGGGAAGAAACAACAGTCCAGTACTCCCTTAGTTTACAACGAATCTCTAACTGACATCCATCTTGAAATCAGTCATATCCTTGCAAATTAAGCAAAAGAATCATACTGATGCAATGTCACTGTCACTAGGTTTTCACTTAATGTACGGCAAATAAATTTAGTTCAAAATATTATTTCATTCAATTTGTCCTGATATCTTGATATCACTTAAAGTAGGATGGAAAAGCCGATTGACTCCTGACCTACATAAAAACCTTCAAATAGTCTATTTTAAGAAATCACTGATATAGGAATAGAACTTGGGCACTGTGGTAAAGTATAATTCCATCATGTTATACAGTAATATTTAATGATGACCACGTTTCGAGCACAATTTATTCCTCATAATTATATCAAAGTACTCACACAACTTTCCGAATTCGTATATACATAATTTCATTATTTTCCATATCTCTGGTATTAGTGATGAGTCATTCGATGAACAAGGATTCCTCTCCATCTGTCTATATAACTCTTTAGAATTGTAACTCTGCTTCACCCTGTTGTGTGTTAATGCATGCAGTGCGATTGCTGAGCTTTTTTTCTAAATTACCTATCTTCTCGGGGTCAGTCATTCTCCACTTAGCTAAATTCTTGTATTCTGATAATCTGCCTACCTTGACCTATGGCAGCTGACCTCACAGTCATAGTAAGGTATTATTTTGTAAATTATGTTATATATGCCGGCACGTTCACGTTTCACAATTTGTCGAAATATAACAACCTAGCGAACACACTGTTGACTAAGCCTGAAATCCAATTTGTCGTTCATAAACTCTACTAGCTTTTGACTAATTATGGGCTCTATAATTTTCGACATTATTAATTAAAGCGGTTACAGAGAAGTTTTGTCTTCCATTCTCAGAAACAGGGTTGATTACTAATTTAAACGAATTAATTAAGAAGTAAAGAACCTCCTCAATCGCCAGATATACACTATCCAATAGCTTAGATAGTCCAATGGATATCCTTAATGCATGATATATTTCCAATGAAAATAAAGACAACACAGAAAGAGGGATGCATACATTTATTGGGTCATAAAAATCATCAAGAGAAATGACAAAAAAATTATGACACGTTACTACAACTCATTTATTCTTCATTTTCATAGTTAATTTAGCCATTTGAATAACACCTTCACGTGTCTTATGAATTCCTAGAAATCCAGTAGCATGTACAAATACACAATCTGGTATACCAACAATCGAGCTTAGCTGGTCATCACGTAATCCCCTCCAACTCTCTGGTAAAGGTAGCCTACAAAAAAAGTTAAATAGAAAAACAATTAAGAACATACTTTAGGCAATTTACATAGTGTGAAATTTCAGTATTGATCATAAGATGTCTTTAATCATCGAACAGTTGAAAACTAGGGAGTACTGGATAGATGTTTCGTCCTTGTTTGGGACCCATCACCAGCAAGCATACATGACCCAACCAAGGTTAGAATTTCAAGTTACAAGGCAAGCTCATCGATTACTCACTCACTCACTAGGACTAAATCTAATGATTAGTAAATTCAGAATTCTCCCAGTTTGCGACATATATCGCCAGCTCCAACAAATATCATCTTGACGCATGTCCTCACACCGGACTTGGCGGATCCCATCAGTTGCAACTCCTCACTAGAAATTCAGGTACTCTATGCTGTAGCCAGTGACTAAATGAGTGCTAGACTAATTTCGAAGTTTGATCACGGATTGGTATCAGTTACAGAACCATTGAAAACCTGCCTGGAGTAGTGGACAGCAGTTTCGTCCTGGTTTGAGACACTTTGGTACGCGCCCACCGGATTTCGAACCTAGAGCTTTCCGGGTACAAGTCACGCTTGTAGAGCACTCAACTACTAGGATCCGATTCAATGGCCCACGAACTCTAACTTCTACCAATTTATGACTTTAGCACGACCACCAGCTAAGTGGTTTTTTGTGGAGAGTCCCAAACAAGGACGAGACAACTATCGATTCAGTAGACTCCCTGGTTTTCAATCGTTCTCTAAATGAAATCAGTTTTTGACTAATCTTGAAATTAATCAAATCCTTGCAGACCAACACTCGACAATTTAAAATTGTTTTTCACTACATACGAACAGCAATCGGAAAATCATTTAAAATTACTAAGGGACAGTGAATACTTGTTCCGTTCTACTTTGAGACGCTTCAAAAGTAAATATGCATCTATATGTGTACCGAGACCATTGTGATAGAATCTAGTGATCTATGTATTTATCACAGGTTCCTACTGGTGAAGAAACTCGAATTAGGCCGAAACATGCCATTGGTTTCGGTAAATTCTCCAGTTTGATGTCCATTTGTGATGAAAAGTAATTCGGAAAAAGAAAACTAACAGATATGAAATGAAAAATATCTACTTACCTTTGGGTGAATGTATTATGTTCATCCAATGGTATAGCTTGTATACCCCATGTAGTGTCTTTACGCTCATATATCACATACAACATTGCGTCATCATCATCACTATCATTATCCTGACAATGATTTCCACTTCGATTATTCCCTTGTTTTTTATTCTGTTTTATCGATTTTTCAATTTCAAAAAAGTGTGCATTCCATGGACATCCAGTACCTTCAAGATGAATTATTGCTCCAGATGGATCTGTTTCATATCTAGATTGCACAGCTTTTAAAACAATTTCACGAGCAGGATACCATGAATTTGAATAGAAGTGAACTAATCCAACAAATTCGTTATCAACTAACTGTAGAGCATTTTGAAAACACACCTTTAAAAAAAAACAAAAAACAAACAAACAAAAAATTATACAGATATTGAACATTATGTTCAATATACGAGGTTTTTGCATTTGCATTAAGATATCAGTGGAGAAGTCAACATTACTGATCCAACGAATATCTGTAGACAACTGTATAAATCATTCAAATCATTGAACTAGTTGTTTTTCTATGTTTTACATATAATAATGCAGAAGTCTAGAATTGTGAAGCATTAGACAAATAGAGATGATAATTTCATTAAGAAAATGAAGAGGATCTATATGAAAGCGAAGTTATCTGTGCTGCACTATGTTAAAGCTAGATACATCGGTGATTCTATTGGTAAGACACTGGTCAATCAAGCAACTGGTTCGGGGTTCGATACCCGGCTGACGCACTCCAGTAGTTAGCCTGATAAAAAGAGGGAAGGTTGAGTGTGTGTGTGTGTGTGTGGCAATAAATCCTACTGCGTAAAATATAAACACCACTGCTACTGAAACTTCAAAAGCTCTAGCTTGTAGCCCTATGTTCCACTGGGAACTCAAAGGAATGAAATAAATAATAATATAAAATTTTGAAGCCACAATACTAATAGATTATGGGTAATAATCACAAGATACATGTTACGGGCGAATTATGTCAAAGATTGAAAATGTAAATTTAAAATGATACAGAGATTACTGCCTACGTTTTAGTAGAAAGATTTCACTTATTATCATCCAATAAAATTTACACGAAATCCCAGCACAAAACAAAAGTGAGCTGTCAAAATTTCAATCTATACGACTTGGATTAGAACTGCACTCCACCTAGTTTAGCCAGCTCTACTAATACAAGCGAACCTCTTGACCATTCAGTCATTGAGACGCGATCTAATAGCATATGAATCCTACCTTTTGCTAATTTGTGCGGCACACAGTGCCAACTTTATGGGTGAATATTTGTCCTTACAATCAACTAGGTGGATTCCTCCACTGGTCACGAACTTACACTAGAATACCCCTTCTCATAGTCAGTCAGTAATGACCACTGGGTTGATTTTCAGTTGCTCGTTTGCAGGGAATAAACTGATTTCCAGTTAAACACCCACTGAAAACTAGACAACTGTTTCGTCCCAGTCTTGGTCTCTTCAATAATACGCACTAATGAATGGATTGGATTCAAGTCCATTGGTTGAACAGTGAAGCGATCACCCTGAAATCTGAAGGTTCTGGGTTCGATCCCCGTTGCAACCACGGGTACATTACAGCTGTCCAATATTCTCTGATTTTCAGTAGTTCTCTAATAAATGTTAGTTCATGGCCTAACTTGAAATCGATCGAACCTCAGCAAACCAACAGTGATGTTATCAAACCATCTATAGTTATCTTTCTTACTCCAACCAGTCAGCATTCGTCTTCTACATAGAGCAGAAGTAATTGAACCTGTGCACTCAGAATAAATTCGTACAACCACTTTCATTCACTATAGCATCATTATATTAATGTGTAAAGTTGACAATTCCCCCTTTCTGTCTCTTTCTGTTTCTAAACCAACTGCAAGTTATTGTCTTCTTTACTATCTTGTTATTGTGCCTACTTCAACTTTAATTGCTTCACTAGTAATCAACTCACTACTCTTATTTTTTTTCCAGAATTATGTATTACATGTGATGCACTTGTCTACTTTTTATAAACATTCTTCCAAACTTTAATTGCTCCATTAATTTTCTTGGTTAATTATTATCCATGTTTGACACGTTGATACTGACTCATTATTACTAACAAACTTATAGTCAATAGACAGGTAACTGACTGTCTGAATGATTTCAACAGAGAATTGCAGCAGTTCAAGTTGCTAACACTCTATATAGTACATGAAGGCAGACAAAAGAGAGAAAAAAAGGGATTCGAAACAACGATAAAAAGCAGGAATATGAGGGAGATAGAACAGTAACATGGGAAAACATAACGATTTAGTGGATTTCAGAGATCCCAGAGAATGAATGCATCTGCGCCAGTGAGAACACTTTAGAGCCATATCACCAGTTATCTCCAACCATTGGTTCTTACCATCCCGAACACCCTAACCATGCAGTCTACACTAACCTACATGGTTGGCTCAAACTAACTGTTAAGGATTCTATGGATTGACTTTAAATTTTGGTTTGACCACAGTTCCTGTGGATGAGGAGTAATTCTGAGTCGTTAAATGAGTGAATTAATAAAGATAACAAGTATATGCAGATTTTTGCATTCGATAAGTATACGAATTATGAAAACATATACCACTCTACACAATGAATGCCTACAAAAAAGAATACAACTACTATGCCTTATGTTTGCAGACGATTGGCAGGAAGCTCGAGGTCTAAGCTTTGTGCTTTCTAGCAATTGTCAGTAAGGTATAGCTGTAAAGTTGCAGAAAATGATGTCCGAGGTGAGAGCCAAACTCATTTTGCCACTTGGTTTTGAAATAAGAGACTTTATGACTGGACTATTCAATCTGAACGCAAATTCGTAATTTCATTTAGTCGAATGACAGTTTAGATTCAAAAACACTATTGAGCAAAGGCTAGTAATACAAGTACATTAAGCCAGCTAAACTTTAATAGCTGACGGGCAATTCAGATTCATGACAGAGTTGGCTAAAAGTTGAAAGTCGAACTTATTATTAAGAAAACATTAATTCGTGCCATACATTACAAAAGACAGAATATATCCCTAGTGCAACTTACATTTTCATCAGCATCTGATTCATTCCAGGCTGGATTCAAACGATTCACTCGACTACTTAAAGATGTATTGATGGAATATCTATGAAGAAAAGACAGAAACTAGAAATAATTAACCTCGGAATTGTGACAAGAAATATTACATCGTTTTCCAGTTTTAATCAGGAATTGGTTTCAGGTAGAGAACCATAGTAAACTAGGGAGTACTGGACTGGTAGGAGAAACAGGGTGAAGTTGCTTGAAGTCCTAGTGGAAGTTCTGATCAGTAGGATCCACAAAATTGGGCATGAGGACAGATACAGATGACATTGCCTAGTGGTAACGCTATGTCACGAACTGGTGAAAATTAGAATTGTTAGGCCATTGGATTCCATTCTAGTGGCGGAAGAGTACGTGAGCCCATATCGTAAGCTGAAAGTTCTGAGTTTCGGCCACGGTGGAGTCACGGGTGCATACAGTTGAAGAGCCCCAAACATTAGGCGAAACAGCTATCCAGTACTCTCTGGTGTACAATAGTTTTCTAGCTGACGTTGATTTGTGATCAAAATTGAAATTAATCAAATCTCTGCAGAACCAATAATTGCAAATAGTTATTATCGAACAGATAAAAGGAGAGGCATCACAACTAACCTTAACGTTGATGACGCTAACGGGACACCATTATCAATAGCATCGATTTCAACAATGAATGAATTATATATCTGAAAGAAGGATATAAAGCATAAATATTTATTATCATGATTTATGGAGTTAAAATATGAGAAAAGAAAGAACACGGTGATATATACTACTGACTGATTGATACTGAGTAGTTAGAAACCACTAACATCAAGCAGTACAGTAGTGCTTGCTAGCCAGATAAAAATATCTGAACATCAGACCGAGATCATTTAGTGATGTAGTCAGTTCGACTCAGTTCAAAGAGACAAATTAGAAAAGGAAATAAAAAAAATCAGTATAAAAATTACCTTATCAAAAAGAGCATCCACTAATGGATCAGTTATATCTTCTTTGCCAAGTATATGAGATAATATTTTCCTACCGAAATGAACGTATATCAAACCAGCACTGCTGAGTTTAATATCCCAATCAGATTTAGGGAAAAAGTCCTTATAAGTAAGAGTGAATCCCCTATAATGAAACATAAACCAAAATAGTAATAAGTCAACCGCAACGAGAATAATAGTAATTATATTATTACTCCTTTAGGTTCCGAGTGGAACATAGGCCTTCAACAGCCATCACCATTTCATACTGTTCAATACAGTGCTTTAACCTGGCTCTACGATTATCCATAAGCTATCATCTCCTTCTCACATGATCTACTCCATATCACCCAACTCTTCGGTTTCCCATTCGGGTTCCCCTCGAAGCCAGCCTGGCGCGCTATGTTGCTAAACGTGTGTCCAATCCATATCCACTTTCTTCGTCATATTTTTTGGGTGACGCGTTCTTGATACATTCATTTACAGAGATCCTTTTCGCTCATTCTTTCCGTCTAGCTATCTTAGCCTCACCGAAGAGCCAGAGAAGGCAGTTGTTGATAGAAGTTTGAAGCCAGCTGTTCTGTTTGCTCTTAGTGACACGCTCATCAAGTCTCTGACAGACTTGACATTAGTGCTGAAAATTCAAATATTAACATTGATACTACTACTACTACTACTACTACTACTAATAATAATAATAATAATAATAATAATAATAATAGTAACGACAGCAGTTGATCCCTAACTAACCTTTGATGATGATCGTATAAATGATTCTCTGCATTGAACACTCCACCACAATCGACGACTATATCACAAGTTGACAAGATACTAGCGTCACGTGTACGTATAATATCAGCATTGGCATATTCTGGCAAGTGTTTAAGCATTGCACAGGCTAAAACTTCATCAGCATGAAAACGTCCATCATGTGTACCGATACGAACTATTGAATTAGTCACCATTGATATGAATGAAGTATTACAATCTGTTATAATCCAGCAAAAAAATAAAATAAGAGTAAAATAAAACTAATGAGATAAATTTGAAAAACAAAATCAAAGGGACTCACTGAAGAATATTTACGATGACATTTATTCACTGGACAAAGTTTTATTAAAACAACATATCACTATTAATATTCCAATCCTATAAAAACCGATTCTACTACTCCTACTATTGATAGTCATTTTTTCTATGTTGATTCATTGTGGAAGATTACATGATGACGAATAAAATACACATATAAGGTTGAATTTCATAGATTTCTAGTTTAACAATAAGAAATGATTACAGGATTTCATCATGAGCTGACATTTGTTAGAGAACCATTGGAAAACCTGGGAGTACTGGACATCTGTTTCGTCCTAGTTTGGGACTCTTCATCAGTACGCACCCACTGGGATTCGAACCCAGGACCTTCTGGTTACAAAGCGAGCTCGTAGACCATTAAGCCACTGGGACCCGATCCAATGGCCAACCCATGAATTCTAACTTCTGCCAATTCACGATATAGCGCAACCGCTAGCCAATGTCTTCGGCGAGTATTTGTCCTCACAACCGACCTGCTGCACCCTACTGGTCACGACTTCCCACTGGAACCCCAGGTAACTACCTACCTGAATAGGGCCAGTCGCCAGTGAGCATCTCATTGACATTCAAGTATGTCAGCTTATGATGAAATCCTGTAACCAATCAACCAAAACCCTAGAAACTAATACTTGAATAAGAAATGAGTTAGTCAAACCCACTTATTAATTCCTAATGAAGAAGCATCAATGATGACGCCAGAACTGACATATTAACAGTCATGTTCAGGGAAAATCTTAAACGGTACATATTTGATGCCTCATTAAGCTGTTAAATTATTTCCTATTTATATTTTTAATATAGATCAGTGATGAAAGCAGAAATGATCATACATCTTTAAGTAAAACTGCCCAAGAGTGATGGAACCAGAGGATGAGTAGTACCAAAATTAGACGCAAACACAGACGATAAAGAAGGCGACTATGTCAATGAGACTATGTATATACTTCGACTGAAATGGCTTACATGTAGAGGTATGCAAAGGAAACATTTAGTTTACAGAAACGGTAACTTCAATCACAAACAGGAGTAATTTATGAGTTCCGCAACTGTTAATCTTTGTTCAAACTCCTTAGGTGACATTCTTCCCTGTTACGTTCCGAGTGGAACATAGGGCTTCAAGCTACAAGCTTTGAAGTTTCGGTGACAGTAGCTTAGTTTTATGGAGTGGGGTTGCTAACTCCCCACCCAACCTTCCTTCTTTACCGGTCTAGCAAGCTTTAAGAGTGCGTCGGCCGAGGATCAGATCCCGGACCACGCAGGTGGATGGCGAGCATCCTACTTCGGAACCACCGATGCAAAAATAAGGAATACTGGACAACTGTCTTTTCCCATTTTGGGACTCTTCTGCAGTACTCACTTGCCAGGGTTCGGTCACAAGACCTTCCGGATACGAGGTGAACTCGTAGACCTCCCAACCACTGTGATCCCTCTAGACGATAGAAATCAATAATCGAAAACTTTCTAACATTACAAAAACCACTTACAATGACACCGATTCGTTCAGTCTTTATCGTCCTAAAAAATCTTGTTGCCATTCAGTAGTCTTAATTCATTTACTTTGTGTCTTGTGACACTCATGTTTCAAACAAATTCTTTTCTAATTGTGAAACACTGTAATGTTACATTCATTTTTTTCACTGCTTTCTATTTCGAGTTGAACAGATAGATCCAAGCAGTTGAGGCTCCAAGAGCTGTGTTTTTACAGGGTGGGCAGATGCTGGCAATACGCTCATCCTACTGTTTTTTCCAAGCTTACCATCGACGAGGCAAGGTTTAGGAGTTCGTCAATCGGTAATCGAACTTGGACCCTCCTCTTAGTTGTCAAAATCCACTGGACCATTAAAACATATCGATGCACGCGCTATATTCAATAGCTGACTAAGAAATATTAACAAAAACTATCCAACTAACTACACGTTCATTCTTAGCCCAATCTTAAACTGACAAACAAGAAAGAGAAATGTGAGTAGAAACGAAGCAAAATGACAGTCAAAAAAAACTAAAATACCTCACGAAAATATAAGACAAAACTATAACTTTGATGCCTAATGACAGAGGCAAACGAAATTACAGATTTCTGGCAGGATTGTCGAAAATTTAAGAGCAACGGATGAATTTGGAATAAAGCATATTTACTTATACTGTATTTATTATTCACCACATCACTAAATATCACTTTACCATATCTTTTATTCTTTCGTGTGCTGTGAAAAACCACTGACAGTATTGATTTCATTACCCTTACCTTTATTGATTGTTTTTTCTCGACAGTGCTGATACGAATTATGATAAAGCGAACTGATATACTAATTGTTAATTTTAACATTATTAGTATTATTATATTCAAGTTGGGATGTTAAAGATTTCGACAGAAGAGTAAACAAATTCGAAAACAATAAACAGATTTGTAATACTGATTGAAAAGTTCAACATTTCATGCGTGTCACAGTGTAGTTTTTTTCTTCTAAAAACTATCAATCAGTCTGAATATGTTAATTCGAAAAGTATCAAGGAGAGGAGCATAGTTTATTGTAGAAAGTTGGGAAAGCCTCATACACTAACCAACTGAGTTCCAAGGTACGACCTTGCGCACAGAAGTTCAAGGTACTACACGTCATATAGAACACAAACGTAGACAAAATGAGTAGAAACGTACTGGAGAGAAAAAGCAGTAAAGTGGAAAAATATGAGGACTTGAAGAACTTAGAAGATTACAAAGGATGAATGCATCTGCACCACTGAGAACAATTTTCAACCATATCATCAATAGTTTTCAGTCATTGATTCTAGGCAGCCCGAGGATCCAACTAAGCAGTCTACACCTCTCTGCATGGCTGAGACCAGCAGTCGAATACTTCATGGATCGATGCCACATTTACGGCTAAGTGTAACCGAAAAAGACAAACTATCCCCCTCTCCAGGCAACTCATACAGTAAGTGTAGTGGATAAATGTGACCCAACTGACAAAACACCCTTTAATTATAGACACAGCGTTTACAATTACACTCTTTACATTTGGTTTAATGGATAGTTATTTACTCTAACTTATTAGTAAGCCATAAAATGTCCTTTTTTATTGATCGGCAAGATTAATATACATTTGTCTGGTAGTTTTGTAAATCAATGGTGACCGATTTCACGTTCAAATGAGGACATTACCACCACTAGTACTCACATTAACACACATTAGTCTTAAGTCATACATGCATACAAATTAACACTAGCATGTAGAAAAAGTAACAAGTAAAGATTAGAAGAAGCATCTCACTTTTAACTGACTGGAGATAGGAGGAAAGAAAGCGTACAGGAAACTTTTTCAGTCTACCAAATTGTGAAATAACAGTAAGAACCTGGAAAAGTAAAGACTAGACAATATATTTTCTATTCCTTCTTTGTAGACAGACAATGATTTATTAACGTTGAATATACCGATCAATAAATAGCAAGACATTATAATGCTACTCGTATAAGCGACCTGATATAGTCAAAGGTGAGAAGACTTCGATCTTCCTCTCGAAATGCTCTCATGTGGCCACCGGTTCATTACCACCTTTACTTTCAAGTGGTGGGGGTGCTTCTAACATAAATGAAAGGGTGAATACGAACTCTTGGCATTTACAACTGGATTGGTGGACAAGCTGATCTACTTAGGGGATCTGGAAAATTCTAATTCCAGACCTGTCAGCTCAAGAAATCCCAATGAATGAATGACGTTTTAACTTGTTGGGGACACCGGTATCCATGGGAAGTAGGTCCTGACACTGTTGCACTTCCCTGTGGATCAGATTTCAAGTCAAAGACTCGAAGTGTAGCCCATCAGGACAACCGCCTGCTTCCATCTGGGTATCCAGGATGTATCCCAGCCCTTGCACAAACTATGCGATTTCGTGTGGTGCACCTCTTGATAATCATAATGTACTAAAATAAGACATCATACCATACCAAGATAGGTTTCTTATTTAGGTGAACTCAAAACACAAAAAAATCATTGAAGTATAGAGATTTGTGATAAGGTTACAAAAGATGAATGACATCTAAAGATCAGCAGAGAAGGGATTTTGAGATAAAATCTTAAGTGATATAAGCTAGTCAGTCATGGAAATTAAAAGCTAACATTGAATGAGACGACTCTGTGCATGTTAAGAAAAGGTTTACCACAATGTGCCACCTTAGTTAAATTAGACTTAAGGTGGAATATACACATAACGCAACTACCAGCCAATGTCATTGGCAAGTAATCTTCCTCTTACCTGACTTGGTGGACGGTACTGGTCATGACCTCTCTCACTAGGAGCTCCAGGTAACTTCCTGCATATAACCAATCGATAGTGAGTGGGGCCCACTAAATCAGGTGAGAAGACGGTTACTTATCGATGACATTGGCTAGTAATTGCGCTTTGTAGATTGCGAAATCATAGGGGTTGGAATTCATGAGCCATTGGATAGGGTTCCAGTAACTGGACGGTCTACGAGTACCCCTCGTAATCGGAAAGGTTCAGACTATGGTGGGTATTGAAGAGCCCCAAACTAGGGCGGCACAGATGCCCCCCCCCACTCAATGCTATAATTGAGAATAAAGCATAATACTTAACAGTAAGTCGTGTAGAAAAATAAATTATGGGGGAAATAACTCACTTCTGTGATCGAAAAGTAATATAATAAAATACAAATATAAACACACGCATACAACTGAATTAAAACAAAACACAAAATGCGTAAAATGGCATAACATCTATTTCATTGAGATCGTTTTTCTTTTATAAAAATGCAGTAGAAATGCCAACAATTTTAAGCATACATGAATGAAATCTGAATGGCAATGAATGTAAATGAATAAATGAATAATGCGGCGAAAATTCATTTAAAACAAATCTGTTGTTTATATATTTTGTACAAAATTGAGAAATATGATGAGAGAGGTGTTGTAGTCTCCAAAAAAGAAGAAGAAAAAAGTAGTAATAACAATATACGATAACACCAAGGACAGTAATAAGAACAAAAACAGAAATGAAAGACTGAATGAATTCAATCTTTTCCACGACCACGTCCCCTACCACGACCTCGACCACGTCCTTTACCAGCAGCATCAGAAGATGAAGCCCGGTCTTCTTGTGGTTTGGATTTTTCTGTGTTTGTGCGTTTTTTCGGTTCCGTCTTTTTAACCTGATAAGACATAAAAGAAAATGTTTTAGATGAGTAATCATCCAAAATGATAGTTCAAATGGTATTTTCAATACTTCATTGACAGCTTACACGATAACTGTTACAATTAGTGAGTCAGTGGCTGAGTGGTGAAATGCTCGTTAACCAGGCACGTGGTCTAGGGTTCGATTCCCGCTCGAGACACTCGTAAACCCACTCAATCAATGAACTAGCCCATGGTAAGCCTGGGAAATTGGGAAGGTTAGGAGTCACGCCAGCAACCCCAATCCGTGTAACAACACCAGTGTAACCTAAACTTCAGAGAATAAAGTTTGAAGAAACTTTATGTTCAACTCGGAATGCAAAGAGACGACCAAAATAGAAATAATAGTCTCTGAACTTTCTAAACTTCGCTTCTATGAGTTGAAATGATGACCACAGATCTCTGTGCAGTCTTCTCCTTAGATGTATAAGTAGACTGTCTAGTTTTACATAGAGATCCAAATTTAAAGATTACCGAAATCAAATCAAAAGCAAACCACGAAATGATTTTGTAACATACTGAGATCATAGCATCATTCTTCAAGTCAACTGCATCTTCTTCTTCCTCTTCACCATCATCGAACAAAGCAGAATCATCTTCATCCTCTAAACCTGCAGGCACAGCAGCAGCACCACCACCACGTTTACGTTTGAAAGAACCACCAGTTGAGATGACATATGGCAATAAATGAGATGATTTGTTATATGTACGTGTCAATGCTGCTTTAACCTAAAACAAGACCAAATAGGCAACAAGAAATGAAAGAGAATTCACAAATAGATAAGTAAAATGTACAAAAATCTTTCGTTATTCAAAAAAAAACCCAAAATACATTCAAGCGTAATTAGACTCAATGGGCAAATCATAACAAAGTAACAATCATAACTTCCAAAGAAACTCTTGTCCTTAAATCTGCAGTTTCAGGGAGATATAATAGCATAACGCCTAAATAACACCACTAAAAGAGACGTATATAGAGCAGAGTTGTGCTGTCACTTCACAATCAAATCAATTTTACAATGGAGAAATGTGCATAAACTACCTAATTTCACGGTTACCGTGTACAGCTAGTTAAATAGAGTGTACAATTTAGGCATGTTTATTCGTCGTATTATAACATAACATATACCTGCATGGTTAAGCAAGGGACAAGTACGTAGCTCTATTCTAGCCTACCTTGTAAATATAGATTGTAGAGTTAACGCTAATAAAGCATTTAGAGTTATCTATCATAATTCCCACTGAGCTGAATTTTGCTTTACTTTGCTTCCTATATACAACAGAAACCACTGGAATATACTTGAACCTGTTTTCAAAAGAAATTAGTAGAGTCACTTTCCCTAAATTGGCCAATTTTTACATGAGTATAAAGTTGGTCATTTCCAACTTCCCCTTATGCCATTTATAAGTTGTAATTATTTCATCTATCTTACTGTAAGTTTATTTCAAATATCATACAGTGACGCAATATTAATACCTGGATGACGTTTCGAGCATGAATTATTGCTCATAATCATATGAATGTCTTCCATAATATAAGAACTCAAAGTCTCTTTAGTACTATCATATAAAGAAGAAACATCAGGAGCCCTACGTAAGATTCTTAATAAGGCTGGAAACTTTGTCGGCTTAAGGACCAAATAAATTCAATAGACAAGAATCTCAAACCGAAGAAGACTTCAGAACAAGTCCAATCCGTCCCAAAGAAAATACTTCTGCTCAATCTAGAATTCAAAGGTGATATCGAAGCAGAAATCCTTCGCAAACGCCTCTCCAAATCGCTGAGGAAAACATACTTCGCCGCAAGCCTACGACTGACGTTTTCCTGCAAGAAACTATTCAATCAGAACGCGAAAGACAAGCTGTCGCATTGGGCCACCTCAACATGCATATACAAGTTCACTTGCTCTTGTGGAGCTGAGTACATCGGCCGTACCATGCGCCAACTTGGAAAACGCGCTCGCGAACACTACCCAGCCTGGCTGGTAAAAGGAGAGCAAAAACGTGTAAACAGTTCAGTGACAGAACATCTGGTCAACTCAGGACATTCAGCGCCTTTCGAAAAGTCCTTCAAAGTAATATACAAGATTCAACCAAACCTATCAAAGGGAGTGAAATCAAGACATTTGGGCATAGCTGAGGCGTTAGCTATCCAAAAACTCAAACCCACCCTTTGTATCCAAAAGAAATACATTCAACCCCTGTCCCTGCCATGGCCATCGTAAACAGGTAAATTTTTTTTAATAATGACCATCCCATCGCCTTTCTTATCTAAACTTCCTGTTTATTCATGTTATTTTAAGTTTTCTTAATCCCTGTCTACACTACCATATTTTCATATCCACACCTCCTGTTTATTTTGTCATTTTATTATCTCTACATATTTAATCCCTGATTGCATAAACAATTATTCATCACACTAGTTTCTTATCCAAACATCCTGTATATTTTGTTATTTTTACATTTCTAACCCCAATTGCACAATATCAATTATCTTAGTTATTATGCTACTTTGTTTTAGTTTTACCCATCCCCCATGTTTATTATGGCATTCTAATTCCTAATTGTAATTTTTATTAAAACAATTATTCATCACACTAGTTTCTTATCCAAACATCCTGTATATTTTGTTATTTTTTACATTTCTAACCCCAATTGCACAATGTCAATTTTCTTAGTTTTAGTTTTACCCATCCCCCTGTTTATTATGGCATTCTAATTCCTAATTGTAATTTTTAAATTCAATTGACAAAAATAATATAATCTACCAAATAACATGTTATATGACTGTGAGGTCAACTTATACAGGTCAAACTAGTAGATCGGGGTCAATTAGATTATCGGAACATAGAAATTTAGCTAGACCTAGAATGGCTGACCCTGCTAAGTTGAATCAATAACCTCGAATTGTATGCAATCACACAATAAGATGGGAAAGGGTGAGAGCATTAAAAATTAATATAGTTAAGTGGAAAGACAGGTTAACCACTGAATGTTTGTTTATCGATGCAACAACACATACACAAAAAATTGAAAGGACACAACGCCCATCCCCGAGATATGGAAAGTGACAACAAAAAACACGGGGAAGAGAGGAAAATATATATAATACAGTTAGCATTATAATTAAATTAGGTAAAAACAAATTAAGATAATATTTCCAATCATCCGGTGCCACCAGGAGAGACAGCTATTTTAGGTTGAGGGCGATGGCCAAAGGAGGAAGAGGGATTGGACAAACAATTTTTTATTTATCATAAATACAAGAATGTACAGCCTAGTTGATGACTTCGTCGAAAAGAAAATTTTCTTCGCTGCAACCGTCTTTTTAATAATTCCTATGATATAATTTGTGCTCGAAACGTCATCCATGTATTAATAATGCATCATCACTATGTGATATTTGAAATACACTTATCCAATATGGAATTACATTCTACGAGATAGTGCCCAAGTTCTACACTTACATTTATGATCATATCACCACTAGATTGGTGAATTCTGTATTGTATTAAAATTGCTTTACATTTTACGTGAAAGCATAGATGTCACCATAGAAGTCAATTATGATGCAAGAATGAATACAGATGTAAAAGGGTGACTAAATAAAATAACTCAGGACCAATAAGTAGCATTCAAAAAGCTACTCCCCATATATACTGTGATCATATCAATTCATTATCTGCTTGAGTATTCAGACATTATTTACTACTTTTAACATCAATGCGATGAACTGACATCGTCACACTTATACAAAAAGGAAGATAAAAGTATCATCACTAACAGTCCACCGCCTCGAATCAATGTTCAATGACAGTCTAAGTTATATATCACATCAAATTTATACATTATATAGAAAGAGTAGGGAAGATAATAATGTGAAAGTACAAGATAGTTAATTGGAAAAAGAGACAAAATAATTGTGAAGAGGAGAGGAAATAGCGAATAAGTGAATGAGATATGAAAATAATTATCGGTATAGAAAGCATATCCGATTCGACCACTTCTTCTTCAGGTTCTACAACTGTGTATTATTTAAAGAGTATTTGTCGTTGATTACATTTTGCTTTTCATTCTATTTGCTTTCTGAGTGGAACAGACGACTTCAAGCTTGTGCTTTCGAGTTTATTTGCTACGTGATGCGGTTGTTAGCCTCACGCTCAACCTTCCCTCTTTACCAGGCTTACTACCGGTTCAAGAATACGTCACCCGGGAATCGAGCTTGAACGCGCACATTGAAAACAATGTTTTCTTAATGTTGACACATAAATGTAGAAACTCAAAAACAAGTTATCCAAAGGTATATTTTTCGTTCACTCATGAATGTTTTAGAACTATAAACATATATTTTTTAAACACGTTAAATGAGATGTATTAGTAAGTCGATGGTTCGGTGGTAGGATACTCGCCAGACATACGGTAGGTCCGGGTTCCATTCCCAACCGACGCACTACTAAATCACACCTAGTTCACTAGCCGACAAAAAGCCCGGAAAAGATGGAATATTGGGTATGAGGTCGACAAACCCCACAAGAAAAAACCCACATCTACTGAAATTTCAAAGTTCGAAGCCTTATGTTGCACTCGGAACTCGAAAGGATGGAAAAATACGTTTATTAAGATAGAGATAATGTGTGCGTAGAGTTGTGAACAATTTTAAGTGACATCGTTTACCAACTTTAATAGTAGTTAACGGTAGTTTCGCAGACTACAGCTGACTAACCTACATTTCATAACAGTGTCCAGAACGATAGCCCCTAGTTTCGTGCATCAGTCTCGTATCTTCGTTTATCCAGCCTCCACTTAGCAACACACTGATATGTTTTACTAATGAGGAAGAGTGAAACTCATCAACTCACCAACGTAAAGGTGACAAAGATAGTGAAAGATGACAAAAATTACAGCAGCCACATCATTCATGCCAAAATTTTGATGAATACTCAACTTCTATGCTAGGAAAATATGATATCGACGTAGATGAATTTTGGGACAAAAATACCACTTTTGTGGGATGAAAAACATTCATAATGCCTATATAAGTATGACACACGTCAACATTGTCACTCGACACAGATAGCAAGATATACAGACTCGATAGGGGAATTATGATTTCACCACATGTAAACAAATCCATCAATAACTGAAGAACTTTTTTAAAATTATAGCTCCAATGGTCGTGTCTAACATCCGTGAAGTGGAATGAAAAAGCAATATTGCACTGTGCATTTACTTGTTGATTAAAAATAAGATGTCTCAAGGCCTCAAAGATCACAGAAGTTGTAGAAAACACTAAGCAGACCTTTTTTGGCATACATCATTGGGAATTTATCCACGAATGCTCTGGAATACAGACACGCTAACTAGACCGTTGAGTGATATTGCGCACCAGGCTAGCCCTGCAGTAGTAGAATCCAAATGGGAAACAATGAGTTGGGTGTCAAAGGTTAACATGGAAGTAGTCGTGTGAGGAGATAAGAACTTATGAATAATTGTGGAGTCAGCTAAAGACGACTGGAGAAAACAGAATGAAATGGAATTGTTTTGCAGAAGCCCTTTTTCAACCGGAATCTACGAGGATAATAATAATAATAAAGTATTCGACCACATCAATGTTTATCTTTGAACCACTTTTTTGGATTTAGAAATACTTGAAAGTTTGAAGAAAAGTTAATAACAGCCGCTTACTTTTGAATCGATATTCTGCATTCGATTTGGTTGATTTGGCCATGTGGTTAACTCCATTATATTGTCAACATCTTCCCTGACCATTTGATATTTAACCAATAGTTCCATAGCACTATCAACATCACCTTATAAGGAAACAGAGAAGGATAAACAAGAAGCGACTGTTACCACTAAATATACGCACTTCTGAACAATAAATGAATTGTTTCTGACTTGTATAAACGAAACCAAGTGAGTTACAGTTGGTAATGAGCCGTACCTATTGTATGTGTGTATGTGTGAGAGCCAGTGATGCCGTCTGGCGTAGCGAGTGTAGCGAGTTTACAATCTGTGACTCAATGATCGAAAGTCAAGTGTCTAGACCAGTGGAGTTCCACAGAACAAAACCTAATGAGCAATATTTAAGCTAACATTGAATGCGAAAAAAAAAATGGAAATGGCGAAACCAATTCAAGTTCCAAAAGAAAAACCTAAAGTAAAGTCAGCACTAGTACAGAATCAACACTGACTGCACTCAAAGAAGTTACTACCAATACAAATAGTTCACTGATAATCTCGGTCGGTCGGTCGGTTTTCGACATAGAACTTTGCACATATGTGCGGCAGTTCAAGTCGCCACAATCTATGTAGCACGCAAAGCAAGAGAAGGAAGTAGAAGAAATGCATAATATAGACAGTAAACAGAGGTGTGAGACAAAGGAATAGTAATAACGGAGAACAAAACAGTTTAATTGGAAATCATAAGTCACAAGGAGTGGATGCATCTGCGCCACTGAGAACGATTTTGAGCCATGTCACCAATTGTTTCCAACCATTGGTTTTTACCATCCCGAGGGCCCCAACCTGATAATCTAACTAAGATGCTCACTACAATCACCTATGTGAAGTCACTCACTCCTTAAGACTGTAGTCCCTGTTTGATCATCAGTCAGGAAAGATGGTTGTTACACAGTTATGATTACAGAGAGACCAACAAGATTCATACAATGTTTACATAAAGATATATTAATCAGTAGACAGAGATGTTTAGTGTAAGTGGTTTCCAAAAAATTACACTTGTGTGAATCACATTAACGAATTTCATTCCTAGTAGTACATTGGAGTTTAATATCAGGGAATCGATCAAATGTAGAAGGGAATATCAACCTACACGACCTCTAGATGTTGTTCTCTGTTGCTGAAGATAATGTCGTTATACACCGTACTGTATACACCTTTCAACGGCCCATGCTTTAGGATGTTGACTGACTGATTAGGAGGCATTAAAGACAGTCTAGAAAAAAAAAACTTATTTGAAACAGAACGGAATCAGTAGTCAAGTGTTGGTGGGCAAAGACTTTATTTGGTTGTTTTCAGGATTTTATAATGAGCTGGCATCCGTAAGAGAACCACTGGAAAACCTGGGAGTACTAGACAGCTGTTTCGTCCTAGTTCGGGGCTCTTCCTAGTACGCACCCCCTGAGATTCAAACCCAGGACCTTCTGGTCACAAGAGGGAGGGGCTCGTAGACCGTCAAGCCACTGGGACCTGACCCAATGGTCCATGAATTCCAACTTCTGCTAATTCACGATAAAGCACGACCACTAGTGAATGTCATCGGCTAGTATTTGTCCTCACACCCGACCAGCTGTAGGAATAAGTAATCAACACTACTCTTGATAATATAATCAGATAAGGATCACCCAAATAAGGGATTGAGGGTAAAAACAAATTGCAGAACAGGCATCCATGAGACTTACTATCCAGCCCGAAAAAACCAAAAACATGGTCTACAACAAGCCTCAACATTGCACACGTAATTACGTCACACCTTAACTAACACAGGCGTGTGGACACCCACACATAGGTGGAAGTAATCACACCTTACATGCAATATGACGGTGGGATAACATATACCTAAATGACTTGAAATACGCCTGAACAGTGAAACCTCGATATAACTGAGGGTAGCAGACTACCAATCTCGTCTGTAGTAAAACACAATTGATACGAATTATAAGATCGATATATCAGAACAGCTTTCAAGATTAGCTATAAAATCGACAGGGATGCATACTGAAATACACTGAGGTGATAGTCAGCAGTAAAACTAAGCCCCCACCTCCATCCTGTGTGCACAAAAACAAATCATTATTACTTTTAATCTACCTTGGTTATCCTTTTCTGATAAGATTATCAACAGTAGTGTTAATTATTATCCTTCTTAATCTTAAATAGCTTATCATTTGGTTTATTTTAGCTGGCCTTTCATTTTTCATATAAACTGGTTTGACAAGTCAGTATGTGCGCAAATGTATCACGTTTCTCAAATAAACTTTATCTTCTTCCAACAAACGCCATCCAAATTTAAAAAAGGTGTAAACTATTTCAAACTTTTAGTATCATTAAAATCTTAAAATCAAATCTAATGACCTCGTCTCCAGTTCTTACCTTCTTTCAATGGACGAGTAATAAACTCTGAAACTGGTGTAGCATAATCCAATAATAAAGTCAATGGATTCGATGAACCACAATGAGTAGCCAAGCGTAAGTGTGAAGCTAATTCTGAAGTTGTACGATGAATTCGATTCTGTGTACTATTTTTTCCAAACCATGAAGGGAATGAAACACCACCAGGACCACCGGGTAGAGAACCACGTAGAGTACGACCAGGTGAAAGTACACTGAAAATACCTTGTATAGGCAATAATGACCATGAACCTGTTCGTGAAGATCTGATAGTAGATGAGATTATATCTCCCATAGCAATATCCAATGAAGCTTTGGACATTAGATCAAGCACTTTTTTATCATCTCTAAAAAGAAGATAAACAAGATAGATAGAAAAGTTAACGTTAATTATTATGATTAGTGGTAAAAGTAGTGTAAGCTGGTGGGTGGGTGGCGTGAAAAAATATTCATATGACGATCATTCCCTTGAATGACAACATCTTATGGATGAATAAATTTGGATGGCAACATCCACTAGACATCTTATATGTAGGGGCTGGCAGAAGATTCAACAGAATGTATATTAATTAGATGAATATTCCACAGACAGATTTTCTATATTAAACAGGTAATACACCTTAATGATTACCCAACAAATAGCAGTATCGGTTCAAGCTATTAAAACAAAGTAAACTATATATCAGTTTCTCAACCAGATCGTTACTGACACAGTGCACCAAAGATAAACTAGCAAAGATGGCCAAAATCAGTGTGTGTATACAAGTTCAACTGCTCATGTGGAGCTAGTTATATAAGTCGAATTCAGAGGAATTTATTTTTACGCATGGTCCTGTTTGGCTTGTAAAAAGTGTAACCAAATCAATAAATGGTGCCATTTTGTCTCATCTAGTAGATAGTAAACACCACATTAAAATAGATGAGTCATTAGTGGTTGTATATCGAGTACCAAACAATCTGCTTAAAGGCACACGATTAAGTCTGTTGGTTATAGAGAAAGCTAAAGAGATGATAAGCTTACCTGTACAAAAGAAACACACTCATCCTCTTTGTTTACCCTGGCCTACTAAAAGGACAGTAGAAACATAATCATCCATAGAAGTTAATTGGTGGATGGTGACTAGCAGTGGAATCCAGTATGCGCATTTCGTCCTATTGGAGACTCGCCACCTGTATGTACCTGCATTCCCCAGTGAGTGATGGTGTTCACACCAAGGCTCGAACCCAGTGCCAATAATTTCAAACGTCAAAGCGTTATCCATCAGAACACTTGGGCCACGACAGCCACCTCTTGTGCTACGGGTCATATTGATTATTAAATTCAATTTTAGAATCCTGGACTCCACTGCTAGTCATCATCCACCAATTAAATTCTAATTAAATGCACAGATATAGTCGAAGCATCTGCACAAGAAGCCGACATGTCAACCTGAGACCGAGCACTTCGGTCCAATCGATCAACGGGAAAACCTAAAATTGAATTACATAGTCATCCGTATTTTCATGTCATATTATGCCTTCTTATTCGTTTTCACCTAGTTCACTTTACTCCATTATTACCTTTATTATGTGTCAACCTTTTGTAATTTACACTAAGCTTATGGTATCTCTAGTATTTTATTACAGTTCGCAATTTAAGCTCTTTACTTTATCACTACACTTGTTATCTGTCAGCCCTTTCTTGAACTTACATTCGGTGTTCCCCATTTTTCGGTATCTGTTCGTATGTATTTTGTGGTAACCATTTTGCTCGAACACCATTGAATATAACTTACCTCCACCCCCAATGAAACTTATACTCTGTTGAATATAAATATATTAGTATGTCACCCTCCTGTCTATTCACGCTTTATCTTATGTTCTCAATGACTAACCATTTTTATATACGTTTTATTATATATATACATATATTATACGTTCATTTGACAGTACTAAATAACGAACTGTCACTGCATATTATACAAAGTATACAGTCAATTATCAATGCTCATTTGGCGGATGGCGACTAGCAGTGGAATCCAGGATGCGCATTTCAACCTGGGACCGAGCACTTCGGTCTAATCAATCGACGGGAAAATCTAAAATTGAATTGAATAATTAATAAAACCCCTTGCTTAAGAGGTGGCTCTCGTGGCCCAAGTGGTGTAGTCTATAACGCTTTGGAGTTTGAAACTACGGGCACTGGGTTCGAGCCTCGGTGACAACACCATCATTCACCGGGGAATGCAGGTACATAAAGGTGGCGAGTATCAAATAGGATGAAATGCGCATCCTTGATTCTACTGTTAGTCACAATCCACCAACTGAATAAAGGTAGTCCTTTACCAAATAATGTAAGCGACAGACACAAAATGTTACTTAAGAAAAGATCCAACTGTCAGTAAACTGGTTAAGTTTACTGAGTTGTTTATTTTGTTGATAAAGTTACAGCCCGATATAGCTTCCATAAACTTTAAGATCCTTAAGAATGAACATGTCAAAGTCAGGATCGCGACAGCAAACCAGACTTTCATTATTCTGTAATCAGTGTGAAAACCTACATACTACTCAGTACAAGGAACAAGATCAGGATTTTCAACACTAATGTCAAGTCAGTACTTCTATGTAGCTCTGAGACTTGGCGCACGCATCACCCAAAGCATTTCAAACAGACTACTACTAAAGATTCAATGGCTAACAGGAAAGGTGAAGCAACAAGGGGCTATGGAAAGAAATTAATATCGATTTAACACTCAAGTGATATCACACGCTAGCGAGGAACTTGAGTGGAACCTGATTTGGAAGTCCAATGGTGAAGATGAAGGAGATCATGCGAAAAGGAAATGAAAGCCTGTGGATGGTCGTAGAGACAGTTGAAAGTGACGACAGAGAACGGAGAATAATCGAGATGTCCTGCTGAACCTTTGTGTATCAGTGTGACTGAAAGGAATGGATAATAATAAATTACATGATATGTCGGAGGAAGTACATGCATAAGATGCACTCACTGAACTGCTGCAATATTGATATTCGTTGACGTGTACTGTGTACTGCAGTTTCAACAATAATATGAGTACTAACGCACTGATAATTTTAACGTGTTCTATGAGTAGATTTTATTCTGTAAAGCCTACTAGTAGTAACATTTATCTGCACAAATTTGTCTAGATGAAGCTGGGTCCAAAATAACTGGTAACTTATCAGATAATCAAACCGCATAATCACTGTTTAATGAATACAGATAACTACAAAATACTAAGTAGAAGGTTACATGTAGATTATAAAAAATTATAGCTACGATTATTATTATTATTCCCTTTGTTTCCGAACGGAACAAGGAGCTTCAACAGAACATTTCCATTTTGTCCTCATTAGCTGGCCCCACGGTTACCCTTAGGTTCTTATTTCCTCCCCACACCACCTCTCAGACATAAGTTCAACTCATCGTTTCCCACTCGAGGGCCTGCATGGCATGTCGTGTCATTCAGCGGTCTCCTAAATGTGTATCCAACCCACCTCTATTTTCTTCGGCATATTTGTTAAGCTATGTGATATAGAAAAAGGTCTATGCTTCAGGTTTCAGTGATACAACAAACTGAAGGAATCCAACGACTGATATAAGAGTAAAATTTGAACACCATAACAGAATGCAATTTCCAAATTAGATAAGTTTATATGGTATAACACACAGGGAAGGATACAGTGAAAATAACTGCATGACACTTCGAGCACAATTTATTGCTGGTCATATAACTATATCAATGTATTCACACGTCTCCTTAACTTGCTAGATATAACTTCACTCCTTCTTGTGCTCTGATGCAATTTTCCATATATGAGGGACAGGTGTAGCATCCTTTCGATTGCACGTATTTGGTATTGACTCGATGAACACAGATTGGATAATTAATCTCTCTTTTTCTAACTAACTATATTAGCTTTTATTACGTTTACCTTATCCCACTCTATTGTGTGTGGTTTCATACAAGAGAATGCACTGCAATAAGTCGAGCTTCTTCCCAGACTACTTAATTAATCCATGAGGGTTAATCATTCAAGATATAGGTAAATTCCTATAGTCCGATAAGGGATATAATTTTAAGCAATATACTGTGTTCAAAACATAATCTAGTTATTGACAGTATCACTGTGTTATATCGAATACAATGATCTAAATATGAAGGCTGATGACTCTTAGCTGGAAGTCACAATGATGTCTATACACAATAGTATTAATGACAAAAACAATAATAGTGATAAAAAGTAACAGCGGTGAAGAAAGTACTTACTGAAGATTATGAACTCTTACATTCACATAATTCTCTGCAACAAACAATGGAATTAAATTATAATCTTGAAAGAATAAATCTAAGCTTTCATTGAAGGTGGCAACACTTCCTTGAGAACCAGAGATATCTGGTGCAAATACCTTACGAATAATATCAAATGCATTCAAGTGTAAATCTTTACGTGCACCTAATGCATCGGCTTTTAATCCTTCAGAGTCGACTAAACCAGAACTACACCACATTTGAACATTGTTGATTACCTGAAATCATAATAACAAATATAATAAATAACAAATAATATTGAGGTTAGGCATCGAGAGCTAGGTGAGGTGAGAAATCAATCGACGAGGTTGTTAAGCAGCTGCATCGATTGAGATGGTTAGGACATGTGTTACGTATGCATGTCTAGCCATCGCCTTCCTCGACAGCGGGCAATATTAGCTGATATAGAATAGATCACGCTGGAAAAGTTAGACGTGGTCAAACCAAGACAGACAATGAAATTCACAACAGTTAGTTTAAGCCACAAGGACAGATGTAGACTGCTGTCTGGCCAGTTGGGGTCTTCAGAATGGAAAAAAACCAATGAAGGCTGGAGACAATTGGTGATATGGGTCAGAATCGTTCTCAATGATGGTACAGATGTCTTCACTGTTTGTGGTTTATCCTATACAATAAAATTCTATTCTTCCATATTACCATTATTTTTGCCTCATTTCTGTTTATTATCTCTTTTTTGAATCTCTCTTTACTCTCTACTCTTTCTTTCTGTGCTACATGGAGTTCGGCGATCCGAACTGCTGCACATCTGTGCAAAGTTCTATGTTGAAACCAGTTAGTCAATCAGTCGGTCAAGACTAATAAAAATCAGTTTATGTAAACATGCAAACACACAAAACAAACAACAAGAAAAGGAATGAAATCAAGTGAGATTAAAACCGTTTTTGGCTGTATAATACCAATAATCTTTCCGTGATAATAAAAATTAAATTGTATACAATAAAAGCTAGACAGAAAAAAGCAGATCGCAAAAATGCATCAATTTAATTTGCCAAACTCCGAGAAAGAATTGAAATAGATACTACAAACAAGAAACATAAGTGTGGGGTAACAGAGGAGAATAATCTAGTGGTGTTTAGAGAAAATGTTCCCAATTTTATATAGATGATGCTGAAGGGCGAATAGAACTGAGCAATTGTCAACGATTTACAACTTTGATGGAAAATAGTGTGCAGCCGAAAATTCTTAGTATCTCAACGATCACACCTAGACAACCTAGAGGATCTGACCACTGCCAACTTTTTTTTTGATTTATTGTATTACTTTACATTTCTTGAGTTCCCAGTAGAGCATCCTTGCTTGTCGTCTGATCTTCAGCATCGAGCGAATGCAGTTGTTGATGGAAGTCGGTTAATTTGTTGAAATGCTTTTGGTAACAAACACACATCTCGGAAAATTCAGTTGATAAACATTTACTCGACTAACCCATCCATCCCTTTTTTTACACTGGTCTAAACACTCCACTTTCAGCCAATAGGTCCCAGGTTTGATTTCCACCTCACCCACTTCAGGTTAGGCAGCTGCATAACATTAACAACCTTCATAAAAAGAATTTTGTGGCTCATAAACTGGTACATGAAAAATCTATCCCAGACAACTGAGTTTAATAACATTACGGATATTAGGAATAAATAAACCAGTTTACAAAGCTAGGCAAAATAAAAAGTTAAGTGAAATCCAATTAGACGTGATCTGCAGTTTATTATGTATTCTATCTAGCAAACATGATTACGAACCCTTCACTAGCTAATGCATTTTGAGTAAGCGGCTTCTAACATCAGCTGTCAGACAAACAAATGTGGCCAACTACTACGTGTATGAATATGAAAATTACTATTGAAATTTTCGTTATACTAACAGAATCAACTGAAACAGCAAAAGGAGAGCGAAATTCGATTTAGGTGATGACTGTAACTGTAAAAAGTCAACTTTTCATATGTCATACTCAGTCACTACTCTCTCCCAGTTTAGTCTGTTTTTATGGATTAAAATCTTTCATATGACACGAGGTTCAGGAAATCAGTTACCTCAGAATGGCTGAAACAAACTGACGAAATAAATTGGTGACGGTGACGAGAAGTGGAATCGAGGATGCGCATCTCGTCCTATTTGGAACTCGGTATCTGGATATGCCAGCATTCCTCAGTGTGCGATGGTTTTCCCACCGAGGCTCGAACCCAGTGCCGATAGTTTCAAACGCCAAAGCGTTATCCCACTAGACCACATCGGTTACGAGAGCTATCTCTTGTGCAACAGGTATCAGTATCAACTTGTACTTTCTCGTTGAGAATGGGGGAAATGCAGGTACACCCAGTGACGAGTCCAAAATAGGACGAAATACTAGTCCTGGATTTCACAACTAGCCACCATCCACCAAACTGCTTCAAGTTAAATAATCAGACATCGACGAAGCATCTACACAAGGAGTCGACATGTCAACTTGAGCCAAGCACTTCAGCTGAATCAATCAACGGGAAAATTCAAAATGAATTAAATTAACTGAAGCAATGTTAAATTTCATTTCTTTTTATTGACCGGAGTATCCTAGGTTCGAACCCCGGTGGGTTCATCAGATTCAACGGCTTACGACGAACTGAAATCTCAGTATTATTATGACCACTTATATCAGAAACTTCCTCCGTATAATATTGATAGTAACAGTAATGAACTCAGTTTACATTCTTATTATTATTATTATTATTATTATTATTATTATTATTATTATTATTATTTAAGGAGCTATTCCTGACCAACTAATTACCATCAGTGCACAATCTACATCTATCTATGTATAAAATAAGTAATACAATAGAAAACCTGAAATGTACACCTGACAAATCTAAAAGCACTATATAAAGACAGTAATAATTAAGAAACAATCTGTTACGTACTGTACATTGAATTGTTAATTAAATTACCTGTCTTATATCATGATTACTGGAATCAATGATACTTGTTAAAACATCTGAAGGTAAGTTGACATTTTCTTTAAATGCAATTGATAGAACTGCTGATTTAATCTGTTCAACTCGTGGACGATGAAATCGTAAATCTAAACAATAATTAGCTAGGGAGCGTATCTGAAAATTGACAAAAAAGAGTAAAAAAAACAAGATATGCAAAATGATTTATTCCTTTAAAGAAAGACATTCTCACCAGCAGCGACTGGCTCTATACAGGAAGTACCCGGGGTTCTGGTGAGTTGTACACAGCGGCGTCTACCAAGTCAGACGAGAGGACAGTTACTCACCCGTGACATTGGCTAACGGTCGCGCTATATATATATATATATATATATATATATACATCCTACACCCTATTCACTCCAGGGCGACCACGGTTGTACTTCCTTATCAAAATAGTTCTATCTATATGAATAATAACCTCCTCTCCTCCCAAAAGCTGCGTCGGGGTTTTGATCTTCCACCATGCCATATCCCTACAATGCTAGCGCCACTGGATACCAGAGGCCAACGAATTTACTGTCCGTGCAGCCGTGGATGCCGCCTCAGTCTTTATAATCCAATAATGTCAGACAGAAAGTATGTTAATCAGCGACAAATTCGATTTCGAAAAGAAATTTCTTAGAAATTATTAAATAAAGCGTGTGATTTACCCTTTCAAAAACTAATTCTTTTTCTACAGTCTGTACACCTGAATACAAGTCTATCGATTGCGTTTGAAAAACGATACGTGAGTATACAATCTCCACAAGAGCATTTGCTACTACGTGCTATTAATCCATTATTCAAACAGCACATAAAAACAAGATCTGGATGAAATTTACACTTTAAATCGTGCACAGTGTTCATACTGGCACGTTAATAATTCTAGGTTGAGTAATCCAACAAACGTAAAGGGTTGAAGGCTATTGGTGTGTACAGATCTTACATTCTCTATTCTTTACGTTGGCCCATTTGCTCATGGAAGAAGACAGAGAATTACTCAACGAATCCAAACATATTATAGATACCATCTGTCGTGAATTCTTAAACTTCTTCATAAAAACAACAACGGCTTTTTAACTTTCACTACGTTCATGAGGTTATATACTGCTGATTGACTGATATGAGTAGTTGGGTACTACCACTCATACCAACCAGTAGTGCTTGATATACAGATCGCAGTAATCTAGATGTCGGACGGAAGCTTCACCAATTTTGGGACGGATTTCATCAGTGGTATATCCGATATGACTCCACTTAGAGAGCTGAATCGATTCTCTACGCCCACTCGAGCAATAAAAGCCAATATTTCACTTTTATATACAGGTTTGCATCAGCTCAAGACATTACTTTCTTCATAATAACTTATATAATTTTAGAAATACACAATAAGTGTGTTTACTTCTTGATAAACCAACCCATCACTATAGTGTAATAACGACTATTATTATTATTACCTTTATTATTAATATTATAATTGCTACATTTCGTCTTCATTCCCACTTCCCACTCGTATTCATAGTTTCTGATAGAGTCAGATTAACTTTCATTTAGAGATCTACATATTTAAACCACATTCAATAAATAACTATAGTTAACTAGGTGGTATGTGATCATTCTATAACCATAAAAATTTATGGCACATCACTGTTTCACAGATTAATATAAAAATAAATGGTATCCAGGAGAGAAAAAACTATGCTATTAAGTCATGTGTAAGAAGCCCTGCTAACATTTATATCTTGGCTCTTAATTGTTTCAAAATATATAAAAAGCAACAACACTCACTTTAATCGCTTGACGATCATTACACATACAAATAATTGGTAAGTGAGTTGTTTTTATCATATTGATCAGTTCTTGCATTCCACCACGATCTTCATTACCTGCCATACCGTCCACTTCGTCCATAATTAACACATGACGACCCACATTCAATTGTGAGGCTAATAAAATAAAAGAATGAATACAAACAATTTTGAATGCATAATATTGAAATACATAAATATTTCACTAGTTTTGGGGAATAAGATTGTGGGTTGTTTTTTTTTTGATAAACGTGGTAAAATGTTGGAAAAAAGGAGGAAAATTAGAAAGCAAACAAGTTTGCTTCAAAAACCGTTAAAATGGATTCCATGTTAGGTGATTAGAAGCTAACGGTAGGAAGGCGTTTCTGCAACCTTGAAGGAACTAATATCCCCTGGACAGATTTGGACGATTGAAGATGATAGAGCTGCAAATGATAAAAAGCAACTAAACATGTAACTAAATATGCCATGACCACTTGTACTCATCTCTTTTAAATTCTTATCGTTATACCATGTGTCAAGAGCAAACTCTGGCTACCATGACGCGGTGGTCCGGGGCTTGCATATCCCGATCATCCAACTAACTATACTGTCTAACATGAATGTTCCTACAGATCCTACCATGGTAGAATGGTCGTTTGGATACCGGTTAGACTAGAAGCAGTTACCGTCATAGTTACAGTCATTCACAGTATGCTGTGAGTATGGGGGCGAAGTAGGACTGTAGACGAATAAAGGTATGAATGCAGTCAGATGCTTCTGTCTGCCTATTAGCAAACCAACCATGCTGACTTCCGGCTCTGGACAGGGTAGGAGTTATAGAAGGCCTGCCCATAAAACTGCACATCACGATTTACCATGAGGCGATCTGTAACCAGTGGTAAGGTCTCCAAAACTCATTGCAAGTAGGCTGTATGTGACCGGCTTTCAGCAGTTGTCTCCTGGACTCTGAAGTTACGCAAGGTTAACGCCCTTTCTCTTCCGGGTGCTTCAACTATTTATTGATCGACAGTGACCGACATATTAATGATACTGTAATTTAAGTTGAACTGGATCGTAATGGTAGTATTTAGTAGAGCGAATGATGAAAACATTCCTCTAAATCTAAAAAATTAGTTTAAAAAATAAAACTTACCCCATCTTGTTTAAAAAATAAACTAAGTTGGTGAACTATAACTAATAATGTTTATCGGTATCTAAGTGCTAATTGAAATCTATCGACAAAGTTCGCAATGCCACATTCAGATTAGTTCTAAGTATTGAATGACTACATTAGTCGCCACACGATCGATATCAAAGAGGGATTAAATTTACGACTTCGGCATAGATTGGACGGGGTTTTAATTATACATGGATTCTCCAAAGAATGCAAAAACTAACCCATGAACAAATGCTAACAGACAGCAGAACAAAATCCAGGATTTCCTGTTAATTCCCTATCTACAGATCTGTGCATGATGCAGTTAGAAGTCCCCTTTGAATCTATTTCCATCCTAAATCCTACCTTTACACACAGGCACATGATTAGTAACGGATTTGTAATTCTTTGAGTCATAGACATCACATATTAATTAATTCAAAACAAATCAATGAAGCGAAATTAAAATACATACCTTGTCCAAACGCCATATGGGATAAATTCCGCAAACCCAGAGATTGTCCTATTTCCTCACTTAAGCAACGTTTTGATCGACAGTCAGATGCATTGAACTCACAATATGTAAAACCAAGTTCTTTGCATGCCAAAATGGCAGTGGAAGTCTTCCCAATACCTGGAGGACCAGAGAGAAGAGCAGCACGCGCCCACTTGCCATCGTCACTGGATGATGGACCCCATGGAGGAGCACTTGAATAGGCCTTTGCTTTTAATCCTAAAAATACGTAAATACATCAATGTTCAGGTAAAATGGACACAGATTTATATTCTCCACCAATTCAAAGCTTATCTGTACTCCATCTATCAAAACTTCTAACCCTTACTTATCAATTCATAGGTTCGAATCCCACTCGGTTTACAGAGGTCTAGTCAACAAAATACTGTGTACAGAACTAAATAAAGCAATTTAGAAAGTCATTTAAATACCTTGATATAAGGAGTGAGTTGTGCTCAAAGTCACCCAGTTATCGAAATACTGGTATAACTGATTATTGTACTAAAGAATACTCATATTGAACAATCAACTGTCTTGCCAGCGGCATAAATCTATGAATGTATGTAGAAGGCAGCTACGCCTTTTGCAACCCGTATCCAAACTCTTTCAAACTATGAACCAATTTATTTATCATTTTGTTAATCCAACAATGAAGAGAGCAATTCTACAGCAAATAAATGCATACTGGTCGGGTGAGAAACTGTAGTTCCAATTGAATAAATTGATATCAACAATAGGGAGAAAAAAAATATTCACAAACCTGCTGAAAAATTTGAATGCCAAGAGGAAAGCCATGCAAGAAGACGATTAGCTGGACTACTGGCACCATTTTGACCAATAAGTGAGCGAAGAGAAGTTGGCTTGTATTTATCCACCCATAATTCAGTTGATACACATGCTCCTCTAGTCGACAGATTTCCATTATCAGCCAGTATATCAGCAGGAGTTTTGCCTGGTATAAGATTATGAGTCTTAGTAATTTTATTTGATAATGATGAGCTGTTGTTAGTTAAAACAGGACGTGCTGTAAGCACAGGTTCTTTATGAGGAGATACAACCGACTTTTTCTTAACCTCAGGTGTTATTTCGTTAGGAGGCTTAAAAGAATTATCTGTAACTTTAGTAGTTGAACTTTTATTAGGGGATTTTGTAGGAGTTTTTAATGTTGTTTTTTCAGTTTGTAATTTGTTGGATAAATCCACTTTTTTCGGTGATTTAGAAACAGTTGGACTGATTTTCTCTGATTGATGATGTCCCACAGCATTACCAGCGGACTTTTCAATCATTTCATAAAGTTCATCTTCTGTAATCTGTTTAATCTTGAGGTTATTAGCCTTGAAAAAGTAAAACAGAAATCAAGTAAGGTCAAAACAGTGTCATTAATGGCTTTATAGCAATATCCAACCTAAATCCTGTAGGTAACTCGTGAATTATTTTGGCAAGACATAATGTATCTCACTTATATAACTGTGGAGGGGGAGGGAATGCAAACTTGTCTACTCGGCATCAACTGTCAGAATCCATATTTCGCATTTCTTCTATTCATTATCAATATGACCAAGTGAGCACAATTCGATTTGAAAGAGTTTTAGTGTTTTCCTTCTCACAAGTAGCTCAGTTGGTACGATAAGAACCAACTGACATAAAAAAAAGTATCTGGACTAGATAGAATAAGCATTTCAACAGCTTTGTCACACTCCTTTCTGTATTAAAAAATTGTGCAGTCATGTGGTTACATCTTATTTTGATAGTATCTGTCTTTCTATGACCACCTGAAAGACTTCAAGATTGATCACATTCATTAGCAAGTCAGATTTACAGCAACCCAAAGAGATTTTAGAGTTAATGTGTACTAAGGAAATTTCGCACAGACTGCTCCATAAGTGGCGTGACGCAGATTGATAGGAAGCGATGCAAAACTGAAATCCACATTATATGTTAATGGCTGGCTGTGAAGCTACAAGTGTCTATTCATCAAATCTAGATTTGATTTACATTGTCGACATGGAATAACCTCATTGGACATGTTTAGCCTGACTTAGCCGAACTTGAAGGTGGCGAAGAATGTATAAATAAATATGATGTGTTTTCCCTTAAAAAACGTCCGCTACTAAGTTTTGTGCTTTGATTGGACACTAGTCAGTGACTAATGTAGTGTGTCTAGTCCTCTGTTTGGTGCAGACTGAATTCTATCAGTCAAGTTTGTAATGTGGCCAGGATCCTATTCTAGGTGGCTAGGCATTACAGTGCACTTTGAATTGTTGATATTATACGTTTGGAGGCAATTGGCAGGAAGCCATAGACCCAGGCTTCGTGCAAGTTGACAATCGTCAACAATCTTATCTTCTGACCATTACACTTTTACCTGAATTAGTTTTGACCACATAAGAATATCAACGAATAAGTGTAAACTATGAAGTATATTAATTCTAATTAAATGGTAGAAGTGTATAATAACCGGGAACTCACCTTCTCAATTTTAGCAGCACCAGGTTCTCGTCCAACTACAAGATAATCAGTCTTTTTACCCAGTGTTTTTAAAACTTTCCCACCACAATTCTGAATTAAATTAGTAGCATCATCTCGTTCAATACACTCCAGTACACCGGTGATAAGAAAATTCAAGCCATTTAAACAATCTGGACTGCCCTGAAACGAAAGAAAAAACAACATTAAAAACGTTTCTAATTACATCATAGTCATTAAGTAAACTATTTCAGAAGATAATCTTATGCAGATTTAGTTTACTGGATTGACCGACTAACACAGTCTCAGCATAGAACTTTGCACAGAATTGTAGCAGTTCAACCTTCTCAGTGATGCATGTAGCACATAAAGGTAGAAAAAATTAAAAAAAATTAAAAGGGCTGAAGAATATTGGTGATATTGCTGAAAATAGTTCACAACGGCTGGCACAGATGCATTCATTGTTCATAATCTCTCTGATGTCTTAAACCCTCATTCTTTTTCCATGTTGGCATTCTATCTTCCGTACATTTCTATCCGTTATAAGTTCCTTTTAATCTCTTTTCCCTGAAACTTTTTGTGCTATCTGGAGTGTAGCAATTAAAACTACTGCACTTCTATACAACGTTCCATGTTGAAACTCAATTAAAATGAGCAGAAATGTATGGGTTAAAGAATAACAACATAGGAAAACATTAGGACTTAAAGCATCTGGGAGATTACAAAGAGTGAAAGAAGTAGTATGATAAGTGAAGAAATAAAAACTTGGGGCGTAATAAGATTTAAATAGGTAATACATGAATTAATTACATAATACCTTAATGTTTAAAAATAATGTGTAGGTCCATATGAATGAAATATCTACATTATAAAGCATACTGTTTACACCCGTATTATTAAATAACTTGGTGTAATTTTATTTGTCTTTTCTATATATTAAACCCTGTCTAATTTAGGTAATCTGAGGACATTAGTCATTTTATTTAACTTTTTTCTATCACTGTACTTTTCGTTGATCAATGTGAAATTTTAAAAAAAATATACTGTGTCTTAAACAAACATCCTAATTGCAAGGTGATTATTATTATTATTGCCTTGGGTGCCAAATGGGACATACGACTTCAACAGAACATCTCTATTTTGTCCTGTTCTCTGTGGTCCTCTTTAGCTGGCTCCGCGACTGCCCATAGGCTCTCATCTCCTCCACACATGATCTCTTCCATGTCACCGTCAAACCAACGGCCAACTCATCGTCCTCCACTTGGGTGGCCTGGAGCGCGATGTCATTCGACGATCTCTTTCAGTATATGTCTGATCCATCTCTATTTTCTCCGGCATTTTTTGTTGAACAGTAGGTTTTTGGTTGGTTCGTTCCCAGAGTTTCTTCTCGCTAATTCTTTTCGCTCACTTGATCTTCTATATGGAGCCAGCGAAGGCAGCTGTTGATAAAAGTCTGCAAACTGTTGGAAATGCTCTTCATGACGTATGAGCCAAGTTTCTGACCTATACAGGAGAACTGACTAACTTGACATTGGTATTGAAAATCCGAGTCTTGTTCTTGATTCTGAGTGCAGAAGAATTCGAAAGTGATTTCAGAGTGATGAATGTCTGTCTTGACCTTCCAATTCTGGTTTTGACACCTTCATCCGTGCCGACTGCCTGTAATTGAAACGATGCTCCCTAGATAAGTGAAGGAAGTAACCACTTTGAAATTTATTCCGTCGATAGTGATTGGTGCCTTTTGTTCTTGCTGGTTGGTTATCTTCATTACCTTCATCTTCTCTATGGTCACTTGAAGTCCTATCTTTGTTGCCTGCCTCTTCTGACAGTTTATTGGCTTTCGCCTGTAATTCTTCGAGTTTGTGTGACATTAAACATAAATCATCTGCAAAGTCCAGATCTTCTTGATTCTTCTCATTAGTTCGACGTATTCCTGTCTGCTCGCTCCCCACGTACGGTGTTCCGCATAATACAGTGCACCACAATGGGCAATATCATCTGAGATAGTAAACAGCCTTGTCTTACTCCTGTCTTCACTTCAAAGGCTTCTTTGAGTTTCCATTGTGGATATATACTACTACTATATATATATATATATATATATACTATATACTACAGTGTGGCGACTTGAACTGCCGCACATATGTGCAAAGTTCTATGTCGAAAACCGACCGACCGATATACTACTAATTGTTATGAGTAGGTGAAAATCAGTAGTGAATGCCAGCCAAACTGAAGATATTTATACACTGGAAGGTTGTTTCGTCCATCACTAAGCTTGTCCACATTGATTTATCTGAAAGAACCATGTCATTTTTAAAAAAAACTGAGTTTCAGGCTAGACGATTGGCCGAACAGGTAATATATTGGAAGAAATTCAGTGTTTGCAAATAACATAGTTTGAGATGGAAATTCATCACGATTCCCATTTGGATGACTAAAATATTCAGGTCACAATATATGACTTGCAAGCACTACTGATTGACATGAGTAGTTTCCAATTACCAATACTAATCAGTAGCATGCATTACCTTGCATCTCTGTTTACTTTCCTGTGATACTATTTCTAATGCCAAGCTATTCATATACTGTCAATGTTTTGTGTTTCCAAGTGAAACCATGGTGAAATTCCACTTCGAACTGTGTAATATACAAGTAGTGCATTTTACTCAACATCATAATTTACTTATATTAATAATAATAAGACGTTAAGATTGAAACATGTTCCAATCATCCTATTCGACGACAATTTTAAGGAGTTGAAGGATATATGACAAATAATAGAGACTATTGTAGCACGATGTAGATTGATAGGAGGCCGTCAAAACTGAAATCAACATTTTATGTCAGTGGCTGACTGAGAAGCTACAAGTATTCATTCATCAAATCAGGACTTCAAATCTACATTGTGGACATGGAGTAACCTCATTGGACAACTTGTTTAACCTTGGGCAAATCACCAACTACCAATCAGAACAATTGATTCTCATCTGACTTAGCCGAACTTCAAGGTGACTACGAAAGTATAAATAAATATGTGTTTTCCTTTAAGAAAAAGACTTTGGATAAGGAACCAAAAATCTGTATTTTCATCCAATATACCTGGGTTTTATTTTTTTCAAAAGAAACAAACTTACTTTAGGAATTTCTCTTGAACCAAGATTTCGAGGACCATCACGAGCTTTATAAGCCCAGAAAGACTTATGACCTTTTGTAGTATGTTCAGTACTATCATTGAGAGAATCATTAGTCTAAATGAGCGATAGAAAAGAAAAGCAGTGAACTATGGGTATTATCTTTGCCTATGTAGCCTACGTTTTTCAAAAGACATAAACAATAAAAATAAGTATTGATTTCATGAAAACTGCTGGATGCACAAAGCACTTTTTTAAGGTTTATGTAAACAACATTAACTTAATTTATAATTTCTGAATATTCAGAATAATACACAAACAACTCATTGCCATACGTTAAACAATGCAGTTAAGTTAGTTTTGAATGTTTTGAGACAAGTCTGCAGACTAGATGTGCCAGTAGGCTAAAAGACAAAAAATATTTGGTATACTACTATTTCATGTTATATATTCAGAAAAGCCAACTGGCCGAGTTTCCCGCTTATAAACACTCAACAGTAAAGACTACTTGTTTTTAGCTTAAGAACCAGAATACAGATGATTGCAAATGTCAATTAAAAATTGGTACTTCATGGTAACCTGTGTTCAATAAATCCGTTCAATTACCTACTTGATCCACGGAAACAAACACAAACAAGCTCAATATACAAATCATTTCAAATCAATCATACATTTTGAGTATATTAATGACTGCTTTTACAATCGACTTCAATTACACCCAGTGAAACTATTACACGTTCAATAAACACAAACTGCCTAACCATTCTCATATCAAGACAATCGTTGAGATCACTCTTCAAGTGTTCACGTAAATCTTCACAACACAAAGTTTAGTAAATAATCTTCCACTATGAATCTCATCAACGTCTCTAAACATGCCTGAATACTCAACACCTATATATATATATATATATATATATATAGTCCGAAATGAACAGTCCAAAATGAAAAATTTTCACCACAGCACATCAAAGAAGTAAAGCCGAAACTCAGTACATAATATGAAAACATCATATGAAAACAAGTGTTAGAATGCATTCAACAGTACCGAAGACTTGGCAAAAACCAATACAGCCAACATTAAACCCATCAGCACGCAGATACAAGAGTTAAGCCAATCAATGATACATAGCACACTCCTCCAAAAATAAACTCAGCTAATACTGAAAAACTATAAAATTCAAATCACTTCAGACAACATCATCCACCACTCAAAATCACACACTCATATTTATCTTCAATATCATCAGATAGAACTACACGCACCGACTAGAGAACACTACATCCTCGGGTGGATATCAACAAAAACACTACAACACCTGATATTGGCACACATTTCATGTCGTGACAAAAGTCTTAAAGACAGGACATTACTAACTCACTACGGAACTCTATGTAGACGGCCCTACTTTTTTCATTATATTATTGATGTTAATACTTTCACCTAATTTTACATCCATATTCTTATTATCAATGTAAATGCCCTGTCTTAATAATTACCTCCCAAAAGAGAGAGTTAGATGCAACGCTGTAACACATGTTCAAAATTCCATACGTCTAAGAAAAATACTCTTTGTAGAAGAGCTATTATTAAGAGGAGTAGTACTTTTCAATCACCCTTTATATAGACAATACCAACGATCTGGTTCCATTCCCACATGAAACCAATCACCGCTCATTACACTCACCTTTAGTGCACCACTAAAGGAACACACACATAAACATCCCGAATGGTACATCGCATCCTATCACTGTTAACAACATACAATCAAACACAGTGAATTTCACTACACCGATGGAACAACATACATATGTGTAGTCAAATATCCTCACACAAACGACCGAAACACAATAAACGAAGGAAGCCAGTGACTAAAAAGAGTACCAAGTGTGGAAAAAATTCCTCCGAATATCCTGAATTGCAAAACTAACCTTCGATGCAACTTGTTTATCGGTAACCTTCTTCGCCTTCTCAGAACCACTCGGCGACTTCACAATCTTCCCACCAAAACTCACAACGTTCGTTTCAGGTACCATCGGTGAATCTGGGATTATCTCTAGTGGTGTGTGTGGAGGTGTACTATAACCACTTGGTGGAGGCTACGAAGGAAAAACACCAGAAACATATATATTACCTCAACAAGTGAAACATGCAAAACAAATTTCAAGGTGTGCACATTATACCCTGACACCAAATATCATGATAACTTCTTAAAACTCCACTTCAAAATCAACCACTGGCAAACTATACTCTCAAAAAATAGTATAGGACGTCGTCGTTAAAATGTCTTCCTGATCAAATCCATCAACGACTTGATAGATTTCTCTTATTAGCTAGTTAATCAGCAGGTTATTATTTGGAAACTCCAACACTCCAACTCATCTTCAGGCGTAACACGAGTACACCACATCACTATCGTACACTTTTCATAGCTGTACATCAACCAGATTCAAACTTAAAAAAACAAGCCACCACAGCAATGCTACACCCTCCCCGCCACCCCTACACAGTGTTTTATGCTGAAACCTACCAAGAACATAAAGGAATAAATTACCCAAACAGTGTCTGAATTAAAACACAAAAACATCAAGTGACAGACAATGATTACATAAAATCAAATGAAAATCATTACAAATTCGGTGACAACAAGTGAACATATCTGAATGAAAGAGAGCCATTGCCAATCATGACATCAAATACATCCTGAAGTTCACAACAAGAAACTCCAACATTCTCTGGGTCACTCACACATACACCCACAAAACTCATCAATTTCCACCGAGTCCTCAATTAATTAATTAGTTACTTAACCCTAACAATTCACCAATCTAACCGTAAACCACCAAACACCATCCATCGGAACGCGTAACCGGCAGCGTATAGCACACACTCTAGTCATTTAAGTCTAAGAACACTCACAATTTCACCAAGTGAGACACTTTCCTCAAACATCACATAGATCTACTCAAAATATCCTCACAAGGATGCTTACCATTGGAAACAGAATCATCTCGCGCCTTTCTATGCACAGCCCACAGCTTTCGACTGACGGATAAACACCTAGTCAGTGTCAAATGTCACGCATTCTGAATAGCGCAAAACTTCCACTTAGTAATACCGTTAACTTACATCACGTTGGTACCGCTTGCTAGTATGTCAGGTTATCAACTATTATGACTATTTCACTACACTGATTCAAAGACAAAGAGGGTAGAGAATCACCCTCTCACACTTAACACGGCCAAAATCCATGTCAATTACACTCGGACTTTTCTTCACTCTATCCATTGAACACCATTCTGTCAGGTCTTTCACTTTATACAACTGTACATTCGCGTACATTAAGTTATTCAGTTTTTTTTAGTAACAAGTCGAGTCTTAATAAATCGGAATCAAACGAATTTACTGTTACTAAACTAACGAGGAAATTCAACAAAGACGGTGATATTCAACATTTTTAGTTGACACTAATTATTGTGTTTAACAGGGATGAAAACCTTCCATAATCCCTTAAACATACACAAGTTTCAGTGTGGTGTTTCAACTAGCATAACATAATTTCTCATAGTTCTGAACACATACACATTGCTACACCCAATATTGTCCAGTAAAACGAAGTACTTTCTTCTCATTGAGAAATAGAACGTGAGACGCGTTTTTAATATGCCGCTTTCAAATTTGTAGAATAATGCAAATTCCATCCATGAATATTCCTTTGTCTCGGTTTTTCACGACATCTATCTAGTCTGAGAAAATGTGGACCCTATGGTCTAAGATGGTCTTTTAGTCTGGCTGATGCCCCAACGGTCACCACAGTAAGCTTCGTCCATTTCTGTAAACGAGTCTGTTGAACATACACCTCAATTTCCCACTAACTATCTTGTAGTGTAGTTAATTTAACTGAGAGTTTCTCAGTGGTGTGTTCAAGCACTTTTGACGTTCTCATACCTCCAGATGTCAGACTATTAGTGTTCACGTACCATCAAATAAGATGTTTGATAGTAGTAACATAAGTAGAACTGTGGGTCAAAGGAACGACTACTTGAATTATCCTTACAAACATTCTAATCGTATACAGAAGTTAATAAATATCTGTTTTTTAGATTGTCTCTTCATGTTTTTTAGAATTCCTCAGTAGATATGAATAAATTATAAGTACCGTAAGATTTGATGCTAACAAATGTTTGTAAAGAAAAAATACTCAACATACCAAGTGATTACTCTTCATTTAAACAATTTCATTACATTTTTCTCTATTTTCAAGAAATTTGTGGTATTAACAAATATACGATAAGTACTGGTAGAATATTCATTAACTCAGACAGCCACAAGTCAATTTATAATTTATTCAAGTAAATGTAAGAAGCAAAGAGTCTTGGCACTTTTAAAATAAAATTATATTTTCACACACTCCAGTTGACTTCAGGCATACAATTGGATTGTTGCTCTATTTTTATGCTTAAAAAGACACCATCTCGAAAAATAACTAACTTTTGAATAGTTGAATGCGTAAATTTACAACCACTGTACATGAGTCAAGTAATTCAATTGCTTTCTTGCATTATTAGTCACGAGAAACTTCATGTCTGTGGGTTTATCAACTATTCTAACACTTACACACAAATACGTAGAGCATCAATTAAATGCGGAAACAAGTTGAAATTTAATAACTCGTTTCCATGAATCACACTTCTAGAAGGTTAGGAATAAATCTACGTTCCACTGAATAAACTGGTAACACTCAGAGAGTACAAGTTGTCATGATAATATTAGGATACAAGAAGTTTGTGTATCAACAAATGCTAAATTTTTTTCATCAACATACAATGTTTCACTTCATGACTAAAAATTTAAAAACTTAAGAAATGAATGCACCAAAATGTAATCGGTGTCTCATACGTGTAAACATATTCCTTCTCCAAAAACCTGGTTTACCATGTAGTTTCACCAACTCTAGGGACCTATTTCCCTCAATATGCAACTCCACTTTTGCCTTTTTCGGGACTCTTCATCAGTACGCACTCAAACTAGGACGAAACAGCTGTCCAGTACTCCCAGGCTTTCCAATGGTTCTCCAACCGATGTCAGCTTATGATGAGATCCTCCAACTGATCAAGCAAACTCCCTGCAAACCAACACTTGAAAAAATATAAGGCAGTAGGGTCAACGCTTATGCGTATTACTACTTTATTGTCCAAAGAAGCAGTAAATAGCTCGTATTAAACTCAGCTAACTAACAAGCATCAAATTCATGCGATGATAAATATTCTAGTCAACCTACATAATATTTGTAAAAAATTATATTTGTAAAATCTCAGCGAGATTGAAATGAGTAATTCCAACGTTTCGTTCGGCAATCTGGTCCGAACTACTTCAGGGAAATTAATCGAAATTAACATAATAGAGGTTTATATATAAAAGTAACATCACTTGTTTTTAAAAACTTTGTCCAATCATGAGTCATTCAACAAGTATAATAAACAAAATTTTAAAAACAAGTGATGTTACTTTTATATATAAACCTCTGTTATGTTAATTTCGATTAATTTCCCTGAAGAAGTTCGGACTAGATTGCCGAACGAAACGTTGGAATTACTCATTTCAATCTCGCTGAGATTTTACAAATATAATTTTTCACAAAGGTCTCCTTCTCACTCGGCGCCCGAATATTTTAGAACTATTCTGTCAAATTTTGACGACAGTTCATTTGAACCTACATAATACTCTTGAAAAACTGTCAGTGGAAATGACCACTTAACAACTATCAAACTCACCACTCAATTCCGATTCAGGTGGACCACAATATAGACAGATACGGATAGCTGAATTTAGAAATTTCTCCACCATTTAAACAGTCTAGTAACGATTCCTAAACTGAATTAACTTACAATTACATCACCTCTAACTTTATGAGTCCACCTTCAAAACCAGTCAAATTCATTTTTCACACTGGCTTTTTCGTTAACTTCAAAAGTTTTCCAATTCACGGTGATTTGAAATCATCGAAGATCTTACCAGTCTTCCTCTCAACTCTCTAGTCTTAGAAATGCCTACAATCACAACCAACGCCAAGTAATTCAGTCAGAAGCAGTACAGTTACGAATAAACTATGTCACGAAAACAAAAAGTCGGTGTGAACGAAACAATCTACAATGAAAGCTCAATATGGTGAACTTCATGAGAAATAGTAAACTAGCCTGTTCAAAATCTCACCAAACCTCCACCCAGAACAAATCACAGAAACGTCTACCGCAGTCGATCACACAAACATTTCAAACAGTGATTTTTCATAGGAATCACGGAACATATACGCATACAGAGTTTCATCAGCAGAAGATACAATTAATTTAAATCAGCAAAACTTAGCACATCAGACGCGGACCAAGGAAATGACCATTACTCAGCCACATCAAACTTCTCCATGACAAAACTCCCATGTCAGGGTGACAAAACGCCAAATCTACATCCAAGGATTTTTGTACATTCACTTTTAAAATTAAACACCATGAAATTGGCTCCGAATGCAGAAACTCAGAAAAACTATAGGTTTATTATTTGTTTCTCCGACACTATACTGCTTTTACTAATATAACCAATGTCGTCAAACAAGAAATTACAAACACGCGAGAGGCACTCGAGAGATCAAACACTTGAACTACTCAATGATACAACATACTCCTCAAAAAATAAACTCAGCTAATATTGAAAACTACATAACCCAAATCAATTCAGGCCACATCATCCACCACTCAAAATCACACACTCATTTATTTTCAATCTCATAAGATGGAACTACAAGCACCAACTGAAGAACACTACATCCTCTGACGGCTAACTGCAAAAACACCACAGTACCTGATATTGGCACACATTTCATGTCGTGACAAAAGTCTTAAAGACAAGACATTACCAACTCACTACGGAACTCTATGTAGACGGTTCTACTTTTTTCATTATTATATTCTTACTAATATTTAAACTTAATTTTACATTCATAATCTTATTGAACATTATTATCAATGTAAATATCCTGTCTTAATTAATACGTCTCAAATGAGAAAGTTAGATGCAACACTGTAATACACCCTCAAAATTCCATATCTCTACCAAAACTACTCTTTGCAACAAAGTTATTATTTAAAGGAGTAGTACTTTCCGATCACCATTTACAAAAACAGTCACACCGATCAGCTTTCATTTCCTACCAATTCGACATTGTAAAAGGACACTTAAAATGTTGTAAAAGATTCATACTATTTCAAATCCCAAACGGAACACCGAGAAATTGATCAAGAAGACATTATGATAAGCTATGATATTAACTCAGTATATAATATTATCCCTATTACCGAAAGTCTTGATATCATTTCTAGTTTACTAGAATCAGATACAACACTATCACAAAGATGTCCACTGGACACCAATGAAGAGCTTAAAATTTTGTCTGGAAAGTAATTATTTTACATTTAAAGGGAATTTATATAGACAGACAAATGGTGTTGCGATGGGTTCCTCAGTCTCCCCAATAGTCGCCGACCTTTCATGAATAGATTCGAAAATAACATCTTTTCAAGCATACTCACTCCTAAAATATGGTCAAAATACTTTGACGATACTTTTGTAGTGCTAAAACGAGGTCTACACAGTTCATTCTTGCAGAAAAAAAAAACAGTCTATCTCCCAGAATCCAGTTTTCTTCGGAAGCAGAATCAGACGTCGTCAACTACCATTTCTAGACTGCCTAGTTAAGAGGAGGGAGTACGGAAATTTTAATATATCTGTATTCAGGAAGAAGACCCACTCCAACAAACATTCAGACTTCGGATAATCACACCCTATCAGCGCAAAGGTATGAGTTGTTTCAAGTCTTCTTAAACGAGCACACTCTTTGATAATGAATGAGGAAGCAAAGGAAGAAGAAATATCAAACATTACAGAGACTCTCAAGAAAAACAACTACCCAAAGAACTTCAACGAAATCAACACTGACATTAAGTATGGTCGAAAACATATTCCGAAAACTTGGGCCTCAACAGCAGTCATTCCACATAGATCAGAGACGTCAGACGATGTCAAAAGAGTACTCAATAAGCGCGACATCAGAGTTTGATTCAAAACATCAGACACACTACAAAGCAAACGTATCCATGTAAAAGACCAAATCCCTAAGGATTCTCAATCTCTTTGTGTCTACAAAATGAAATGCTTGGAATGTGATGCGATATACATCGGACAAACATGTCGAGAAATCAAAATCAGAAGAAACAAACACCGTAGACTATTTGTTTGATCAACGAGAAATCCAGTTGAACTAGAAAAGCTTGAAAAATCATCAGCCATAGGTCTACACACTTTAGAATCAGGTCACAAAACTGATTTTGACAATATTGGAATCATCATCTAGAAAAATTTCAGAAATCACAAAGAACGTCTAATATAAAAAGCACTTCATATCATATGGAATCCAAATTGTCCGAATAGGAATGATGGACTAAAAAAGAAGTTGACCTGGTTACAAAACACCCTTCCACCATGAAGTGACAATATCAACACGAAAGTGATAAGCAGTTTCATGATGTAAACACACTCAGCTTTTTGAATTTTATACACTATTCAAATCCAACAATCTACAACTGGCTTTGATAGCATTACCAAATCGCCAACTTGACAACGCAAAAATAACCCCATGCAGAGGGACGATGATTAAATCGTTATATAAAAGCTCAGATTTAGTAAATTCTGGCTTAATAAAACTTTGATAAAGCTATTAGCATTAAATAGCGAAAAGCCAGTAAAAATAAAATCTTTTCCCATTTAATTCACTTGGAAATACAAAAAAATTTATCATAATGAATATTATATATCCAGTGAACAAATCTCGTCAAACTGTTAAAACTATTAAACTAACCTTCGATGCAACTTGTTTATCGGTAACCTTCTTCGCCTTCTCAGAACCACTCGGCGACTTCACAATCTTCCCACCAAAACTCACAACGTTCGTTTCAGGTACCATCGGTGAATCTGGGATTATCTCTAGTGGTGTGTGTGGAGGTGTACTATAACCACTTGGTGGAGGCTACGAAGGAAAAACACCAGAAACATATATATTACCTCAACAAGTGAAACATGCAAAACAAATTTCAAGGTGTGCACATTATACCCTGACACCAAATATCATGATAACTTCTTAAAACTCCACTTCAAAATCAACCACTGGCAAACTATACTCTCAAAAAATAGTATAGGACGTCGTCGTTAAAATGTCTTCCTGATCAAATCCATCAACGACTTGATAGATTTCTCTTATTAGCTAGTTAATCAGCAGGTTATTATTTGGAAACTCCAACACTCCAACTCATCTTCAGGCGTAACACGAGTACACCACATCACTATCGTACACTTTTCATAGCTGTACATCAACCAGATTCAAACTTAAAAAAACAAGCCACCACAGCAATGCTACACCCTCCCCGCCACCCCTACACAGTGTTTTATGCTGAAACCTACCAAGAACATAAAGGAATAAATTACCCAAACAGTGTCTGAATTAAAACACAAAAACATCAAGTGACAGACAATGATTACATAAAATCAAATGAAAATCATTACAAATTCGGTGACAACAAGTGAACATATCTGAATGAAAGAGAGCCATTGCCAATCATGACATCAAATACATCCTGAAGTTCACAACAAGAAACTCCAACATTCTCTGGGTCACTCACACATACACCCACAAAACTCATCAATTTCCACCGAGTCCTCAATTAATTAATTAGTTACTTAACCCTAACAATTCACCAATCTAACCGTAAACCACCAAACACCATCCATCGGAACGCGTAACCGGCAGCGTATAGCACACACTCTAGTCATTTAAGTCTAAGAACACTCACAATTTCATCAAGTGAGACACTTTCCTCAAACATCACATAGATCTACTCAAAATATCCTCACAAGGATGCTTACCATTGGAAACAGAATCATCTCGCACTTTTCTATGCACAGTCCACAACTCTCGACTGATCGGCAAACACCTAGTCAGTGTCAAATGTCACGCATTCTGAATAGCGCAAAACTTCCACTTAGTAATACCGTTAACTTACATCACGTTGGTACCGCTTGCTAGTATGTCAGGTTATCAACTATTATGACTATTTCACTACACTGATTCAAAGACAAAGAGGGTAGAGAATCACCCTCTCACACTTAACACGGCCAAAATCCATGTCAATTACACTCGGACTTTTCTTCACTCTATCCATTGAACACCATTCTGTCAGGTCTTTCACTTTATACAACTGTACATTCGCGTACATAAAGTTATTCAGTTTTTCTAGTAACAAGTAGAGTTTTAATACATCGGAATCAAACGAGTGTCTTGCTAGTGTGTGGGGAAGTCCGAGAGACACAGTGATATTCTGCATTTTAGGTTGTGAGTAATGGTATGGGAAATATTGACACTTAACGGAAGATTCTTAGTGGCATTACCAGTTAAGAGAAACGATAAATATGAAAATGCGCTATCGTGTGTATTTATATCAATGCCTTTTTGTTAAACATGCGGCTGTATTCACAATTGTATTACTGGTTAAAACAGACAGCTCAGTCAGTTTTTTAAAAGATTATGGAAAACTTATCCTTGTAAATACACAGGTATGTACAACTGTACAAACTGTACAGCCTTGAACAATTAGTCTTTTATAAGTAGTTCATTAATGGTGATCACAGGAGTGGAAACTCAAAATGATTCAGAACATACCGACGAGGCTTGTTTTGTTGAGGATGACGAAAAGAAATCATCTACTGAAACTTCTTTCTTCTTAACTTTCACCGGTTGCGCGAAATACGCTTCAATAGTATTTGCTTTTTTCTTTTTGTTGGTTTCCTTACTTAAATCTTGCTGCCGCTTTAAAGCTTCGATGATGGTTTGTTGTGTATTGGAACGGGAAGATATTTCATCATCTGTACAGAATAACAAATAGAAAACGACAGTACCATTATTTTCAACATATTTTCTTTTCTTCTCTGACCGATGAGATGGAGACTTTGAATGTCCTTTCGAAGAAACTTTTTCTTTAGATTTGCTTTCGTCATCTAATTTCACGTGAAAAAAAATAAACAGATGATACCTGAATCTGATTCGCTGAAAACCACACGACGTTTCATTCCTGTAGCGCACAGCTAGAAATACCCTCCTTCAGAAATTCACATTTGGATTTCGCATATCAGAGTTCTTGTGCAGTATCAGTCCCCACCGATAAATAAACTTCATTCTTCTGTAGAACTGCTCAAGTGTACGAGATATATCTGAATTAGTTCAGTCTGTGTCTTATGAAACAATCCAGTGTGAAATCTGATATCCAACATACTTGAGTAGACATGTGGATTTCCTAGAGCTCACCTGTTTATCGTATGAAGCCATCCTTGATCTCTGGAGGACTCAGAACTAGTACGCCAGCTACCCACATACAGTTTTAGCTAGTGTATCTGTTGATCGTAAGTCGCCATTTAAATGGGAGTTTGCATCGTCCATTGTAGAATACCGCAGCTGATGGGATTAAACGTTATCGTCACACCCCACTATGCTCCATATCATTAGAAAAGAAAATGGTTGCAGAAGGAATAAACCTTCGGGTTGAGTCAAATATTTTATTTACAAAAAATTTCTGAGCTGTTACCATTACTCAAAACTCAGTACCAGCAAGCACTACTGAAGTCGACTGGCTAAAGTGAAGGTGCGCAATCGAACAGCTAGGCAATTTAGTGTGCTGTTGTTCGATTTTTCGCGCGCCATACAGCCGTCAGAGCCCTAAATTTTAGATCTCTCCCTTGATGACCATGTCTTTTCATCACTTGACCTTTTAATAATTCTGAGATCAGTTATCAGAAATATGTATATGTGAATTTCTTAGTAAATGAATCACACAGAAATGTATGGATTCATTCATAATAGGTGCCATGATTAGTCATTCTACTGACTAACTGGGATGAAGAAGAAACGAGATGCCTGTAGTTGAGGCTATGATGCCTCGATAAGTGAAATAAGTGATATTCCCATATATCACCGCCGCTAGTGCTGATTGATACTTGTTGCTGTTGGTTAATTGTCTTCATCACATGTCTTCCCCATGTTCCTTTGAAGCATCGTGTTCACTACCTTTTCTGCAGGTTTTTCAGCTCTTGCTAGTAAATCTTCGACTTTGCTTGTTATGTGACATAAATAGTCCTTGAAGTTCAGTTCTTCCAGACTATCTTGGTCAGCCCGATTTACTATTGTCTACCTGATTCCATGGTCTGTCGCGTAATCTAGTCCACTAAAAGCAACCGTAACAGTGGCCGTGATCACTGATCTTGTCTTACTCCGGTTTTCATTTCAGAGGCTTCACTCATTTCTCCGTTCTCAGTCACTTGACGGGTGACACCTTCGTTAGATTGTTGAATTATGTGGATCGAGGTTTATGGCACTGTTTTCCGTAGCGTTCAAGCAACTTACAAAGCACTTCGTAGTCAACGCTGACGAAGTCTTTTTCAAGGCCGATGATGTTGGGGTAGCGATCTGGCTGCCATTCTGTGCTCTGTTCGATGAGCATCCATAGAATTACGATTTGATCTGCAAATGACCTGCTTTTCTACAATCCTGCTTTGTGAAAACGGAGTTCTGCATTCACAGAATTTCTTGGTTTCATCCAGCACGACGTGACCTAAAATTTTGCTTGGCGTTGTCAGGAGGATACTTCTAGTACACCTTTCGCATTGACCTTTGCCAACATTCTTTGGCATTTTACCGAGATATCCTTCCCTATCATCAGTAGGCATTTTTTACTTTCTGGTGACTATAGGTAAAATCCCCGCTTTGAAGTGGCTCAATATGCTTTATTTTTTGGGTTTTTGTATGGTTTGGTTGATTTGAGCCGAAGCTGGTTCTCTCCGTTTGGCCCACATAGCTGTATTCGATGTGATTTTAGTGTTCATTCGGCTTTTGCTATGCTGATTACTTCAAGAGTCTCTATCCGACAATGTTTCTAAGCAAGACCACATTGTTTGTGTGGCAGGACGCTAAAATATGTCTTGTGCAATAATTGCTTTGTATAAGGTGTATGCATACAGTGCATTTCCGTGACTGGTGTTAAAATAATCATATTTAACCTCGGTAGGTTTTGCGATCAGCTGATATCCACTGTCAGTTCATAGTGCGGAACCCAGGAACATAGCCTTTCGTGCAGCTGCACACTTGCATGTTGTTTTGGTTGCTAAAATTCAGTGGATTTAAGAAAAAGCAGTGTTCATATTAGGGCAGAAATCATATAATGCTTTAAAACCACTTGTAACCCTCACAAATATCAAAAATCTTAACTACCATAAATGCCCTCTAAGACTTCTTTCAATGCTTCACTACATTTTAACATCGTCATAATCTGGTTCGCAACGACATTTACCTGACAATTTTCTCACTTTGTTTTGTCGCTGCTTTTGCTTTCATAACTTTCCTCGACTTTTGGTTTTCTTCCAAAAAGTTTTTTATGCGTTTGTGTTATGAAAATATGTGAATTTATCTTGGAATCATATGGATGTAATGTCCAGCTTTTTTGACGTCGTGAAAATAGGGTTTAGAAAAAGTTGTTTGATGCAGTTTTCATACACTATTGATCTATCTGTTTGTAATTTTTACTTTTAAAGTCTGAACTATCTACACTAATTTATTATTATATCGTTTCAATAAAACCTTAAGACTAACACATCAATTACGTTCACGACGCGGTTTTAACACACCGCACACTACGAACTACACCTAACTAATACCCTTACCATAACCCTTGGGGTCAACGAATGCTGCAATAGGCAAGTTTTGGGATATAATACGCAGAAGTTTAAAGGAGATCAGGAATCTCTTCCTAACGACCAATTTTTCAATTTAGTTTCGTACAATGCGTCAAAATTATTGACGCAATTGCAAACTAAGATGGCATACTTGTAATTCTGGTTTGATGATATTAGATGGTTGGAAGCAAATGGCACAAATGCTTCTGCACATTAGTATTTCCCCAGATACTTTTAATAAGGGAATAAGTGGAGTAGGTTGTGTGACAGCTCAGTATGTTAGCAAGATCTTAATCCACCTAAAGATATTCAAGTTAAGAACTATCGGACTTAAACGAAGTTCCACAAATCAATGGAGATTACGCTTCCTCTCACTAGTGTGTCGTCCGCATGACTAAACTGGTCGCTTCCATATTCCACGAATGTTCATTTCCGGTGTTGATGAGCCCAGATGATCTATACTGCGCCTACTCTGGTTCAATTCTGAAAGTAAATTCAAGTCACTATGTGAAATACCAGAAAGAAATATGTCATTTATGCCAGTCAAAAGAAGGAAATTTCATTTTTTTTTAATAATAAGCTATAGTAATTATTCTTTTAACCGGACATAAATGCTGCAATTTTTTACACCATATCTATGAATAAAGATCGGTTAGTTAGTTACATCGAAAATAGTTATCCAGAATAGATTGTTAAGGTTTCGGTTCATGACATATCCAACCGTATGAAAATCGACAATACCACCCATGGTTGAAGTGTGTGGAGAGGGAGAGATTTCTTTATTTCGATTGCAGTTAACCTTCAATGTCAAACGAAACACCTGGAATGAATCCATGAAGTATTTGACAGTCGGTTTCTTCTTGCTGCTTGGCTGGGTCTTCGGGATTCCAAGAGCCGATGGCTGCATAATTTGGGTGATATTGCTTAAACTTTCTCTTAATGACGCAGAAGCATTCATTCTTTGTAATCCGTCAGATCCAATAATTCCTCATCCTTATCCGTGCTACCCTTGTATCTCTTTCCAGTTTCCGCTTATCATAGTTCCTGTATATTTTATTTTCTTCTCTTTATCTTTTTGCGCTACATGGATTGTCACAGGTTGAACTGATAAACTTCTATTCGAGGTTCTGTGTTGGAACTCAACCAGTCAGTAGGTGAATGTATATGGCTTTTCAAATTCCTTACGTGGTCCAACTTTGTAGAATAAACAGTTCCCCTTTGCTTGGTTCTTTTAGAATTAGTTCATGTGTTGAAAGCGACTGACAGACTTCTGAAAAAAAGACTGCTGTGACAAGCATGAAGTGTTTGAATTTCTGATCTCTATTAAAGATTAGTCTATTGCTTTGAAATATGTCTACCTTCTCCCAGATTCCTTAACATCCTTTACTTAAAAATAATAATACAGTTCACAATTAGCATCGGTTTGCTTTACATCACTTCTAATCGGCACTGTCGAAATCAGTAAAGGTAAGGGTAATAAAATCAATACTATCAGCCGTTTTTCATAGCACGCGTTATAGCTCCTGAGTACCGTTTGGATAACGTGTATATCAAGTCAAGCTTAAGACTTGGGTTAGTTTTAGGGCTTGGATAAGGGCTAGTATTGGAGTTGGCATATTTAATTATCATCTCCACTCCTTCCACAAACGATTTGGTGAAAGTAGAGGGCATTGTTATCCATGGTGACGACACTGTTATGATATGTAAGCAACAAGAAACCTTATACTCTTCAGTGTAATCGAGTAGTATTTTAGAGTCACTTAAGGTAAAAATATCATGAAAGAATTTCTTCATCGACTTTTCCTTGTATAAATGTGAGTAGTGTGATAAGACGCAAAATAAATGAACCGGTAACATTCAACAGTCGCAGTGTAACGACAGAAGACAAGGGCCAGGCAACAGATCGTTTATTGAGAAAAACGAGAGATATTTTTAGATTTTATGTGCATTACTATTAGCCTTATTGTTAGCGGCGGGCAACCTCTCCTGATTTGCTGTTTTCTTGCAGAAGGTTATTGTCATCCCTTTATGGCCGTTTCTCAAAAAATTAAGCCATATTTCTGTGCATCACATTTCCGCTGTTATTGGCTGGTGATTTTCTCAAGGTTAAGCATTGTCATTGTTTTTTCTTATGACCCCTATTCGGGACGTAAAGATTGACGTAAATTGTTATCTACAATTTTGATTAGCAGACAGCTGACACCACAAAAAGTTATTCCAGAACGATAAAGAGTGAACGAATTGATGTCACTAACGTGGAGTTTGTGCGGCATTACACAGTTTTCGCTTGGTAACACACATCTTGACCAACTTATCAAGTGACTTATCCTCCTCACCCAACACCACGC